ACGGTGAACGCTGAAATGTTGGTGAAAATTCTGCATGGCTCACAGTATGCACGTAGTCTGCTCAAGTATGTGGGGGCGTTAATGCCGCCCAGCAGGTGCTGATACTGGGCTCCAGGTCAGAAGGACATCAAACTGGAAGCATAAGCGGCTATCAGTTGCAGCTTCTGGACCAGCTAAATTGGGGGTACCTACTGTCAAACTTTTGTCTGGTTGTGCCCACATTAAATACAGCACTGTGACTCACTTGGTAAAATTGAGGTCTACTAAGTTGATTTGAACAGATAGGAGGAATCCGTAAGAAGTTAGAAGCTTATTCTTTTGATAATATGGAGAAGAAAGCTGGGCCAAATTTCACCAATTTGTCTGCATAAATTGTTTGCACTCAGGTTTAATTCTACACACTATTAATCTGGGATTGCTTCCATTGAAGTTGGGTATTACCCAATCATGGTAACAAATGAAATAGCAGCAGAGGCCATGAGAATCTACAACAACTTATGCTTTTGACACTCCTGCTGTTTCTCTTTTTAAATAAGGAAATTGTGACTTCTGATGAAATGGAGGTAATAGCAGAAATTACCCGTGCCCCATGTTTATTTTGTCTAGGCTGTGAGTTGGCTGTTCTTGCTTTCATCGAAGCTACATGTCTTCCCTTAAACCTTAGAACCACAACATGATAGGCCGACCTATTTTGGGTCAGACTGGAGTGCTTTAACTTCAAGCTTTGCATGATGGATTGTAGTGTGTTTGTGAACCCACAAATACTGCAAGCATCAACCTTGCTGGCAAGGTTTAGCTCAGGTTGACAGTTTGAGGAGTCTTGTCTTATTCATGGTCAGGGGACAGTCACTGGTTACACATGCAGCAGACCAAGGCCTTCATAGAAGATCTTTTTACTGAGCAAAATCAAGAAGGTCACGCTTGTGTCATGACTCCAGGAGGCATAATTTGTCTCATAAGCTTATTTGCACATGTGCAAATAGAAATACATCCCACACGTTTTTAGAACTAAAAAAATAATAATTCCCTTTTATCAATTGTAAAGGTACTAAACTATATTCTGTAAATGGTTATAATGAAGTCAGTTGCAAATTTAGAACTATAAAACATAATACTTGTTTATTTTCTTTGATTATTACTTGTTACAAAAGGACCCTTTTTACTAGAAACTATGAAAATTCCAATAAATGAACAATAGTTTTTCTAATTCAGTAGGAAATTGTGTATTTAACGGAAATATATTTTTAATCTACATTTTTGTTTTTTTATTCTTTAATACACAGACTATAGACAACAAGTAAAAATGCTCATCCAAAAGCATTTAGTTTTTTCGCATTCGCCAATGAGTGGAAGGTGATGAATCCTGCTTCTGGGTCTAATAGTGCAGAGGCATGTCTTCACCAATACAGTCTACGAAGAGCTGGGGAGAAAGAGAAATGTGGCGTGGCTTGAGAAAATTTTCTTTTCATCTTTTAATAATGACCATAAAAAAAAAAGACACAGCTAGTACTTTTATTTTAGTAAGATTTTTCCTACCTGAGCTGCCTCCCCTCCATGGCTCTCTTAACTGATTCCTTAAAAATTGCTTTGTTGGACAACCATGTCTTTGTAAATGCGCAGTCTATTTTGATGTTGGATGATATTGTAAGCCTACTTAAACAATATCACAACTTTACAACTGACTTCTTTGCTGTATCTATTGGTCTTCATTGTACATTGTAAGTTCTAACAGAGCCAAAGAATTAATACTCTGTGTATATATATATATATATATATATATATATATATATATATAGGTTGCATCTAAAGATAGTTGAATACAATAGTTTTCATTCGGGGTTAACAGAGTAAAGATTAAAACATAAGGATGCAACACTTCTTGGATGGTTACTTGTAAAACATTTGAAAAAACACATTTTAGTTTCCATTGGCTTTACAATCTCCCACCACTTTGTGCTGTTCTGTCATGTAGAATCCCACAAAAATACATTGAAATTTGAGGTTGTTACGTGACAAGATGTGGAAAAGTAGTATGAAGCAAGGCATTGCATGTCCTTCCACAGCATTCCTCTATACAGCTTTGAGATCCACTTCTCTTTGCATGTTTGTGGTTTCCAACTTAAACATGATGTTTAGGTTTACACAAGCAGGACAATTTATCATTCGTTTGTCACCCTCCTGTCACTTTGCACACCAGTGCTGGTTTCCAACTGCAAAAACACAAATTAAAGAAATATGTGAACCAAGCCCTTCTCCTGTGGCATTTTACTAAACAATCTATTTGTTTCTATAAGCCTGGCTGATTACAAAGGGGATTGAACTGAGAAAACCATGAGAAACAAGTCGCAGAGATTTCCTGGACACTCAGAGGGCTCCAGAATCTGCTCTCCCCGCGTCTGCTGTCAGTTAAAGTGGATTCCTGCCATTGAATTCCTCACTCTCCTAACTTAAACCCTCCACCAGAGCCAAGGGGTTCACAAAGCAGAGAAAAGGGAAGCAGGCGGGGGAGGAAAGCAGGAGATGGAAAGAAGCGAGCTAATACTTATTTTCACTTCTCACGTTTGGCTTCCCCCTGCTACTTATGCCTCACGTCTGGTCGGCGTAACCCCCTTAGACACCGAGCTGGAGAGGAAAGAATCAGACTGGCAACACCAGTAAACGAAAAAGCATGAGATCGAGGTTGATTAATGCTTCTTTTATTCCTCTGGTCCTGAAACAGAATTACCTTACCTAACCCCAGTGGAGAATGAGCAAGAAGTTCAGTACAGATTAAAACCAGATATTTCTTTTCATACTGGATCGCATCCATTTCTTCTACTGGACCGCTGTTTGAGAACATGGCTAGTGACTGAAACACTTAGCCATGCAGTGTCCAGGCTGTTTTACCCAGCTATCAATCTTTGCTTTGAGTAGTGAAGTGTTTTTGTTGCAGCAGGGGGCACAGTGTGAGTGCTCATCCAAGGGCACATTTCCATTGCTCTTTATAAAAGAAAGAAAGAAATACTTGTTCTTACTGAGATCATTCCTAAACAAGCAACAACAAATGACTCACCACTGTTGGGCAATGCTTAGCTGGAACCCTGTTTCCACAAAAGTTGGGGTTCTGCATACAATCTAAATCAGAACAGCTTGCATTCATTTGGTGGGGGGAAAAAAAGGAGGAATTTCAACTTGAAATCTGTACAAAGAGCAAATCAAATGTTTAATTTGATACCAAAGACACATGTTGAACACTGTGTTTCAATCTCCTTTTGTTAAAGCAACATGGTTTAGGTTTTTCCACCATAGCAGTTACAGGGCCTAACCAGGGCCGGTGCCGTAATCAGCCTTTAATCGGTTCTTTTACACAATCAACGAGTCGGATTAATTCCACGTCATTATGTCACAAAAAAACTCTGATCAGATGGATCATCCGTCTGTTCTGATACAAATTTTGGTGAACATTCGGTGAACCACACATATCACATTATGTTCCTCTGTATTCCTACAAACAGATGTCCTGATATCACCAGCTCAATTTACTCATGCCATTCACAGGAAACAAGCCGTGTTTGCCAATGCTTAAAAACTCAGATTTTTTATCTGATTGCTTCCATCTGTAGAGTATAAAAAAGACTTATAGATGAGCTTCTCCAGTAACCGTAGACAAATATACTTCTACTCCTTCAGAATTATTTTCAAAAATCAATTTAGTCTCATAAGTCTATATTATTTTACTTATAAATCCAAATCAAATCATGATAATTTCAAATAAGTATATCCCTCATAGCAAGGAGACATCACATTTCGTACTTTATAGAAATGTATGAGGTTTATATATAATGAAAATATATTTATTTTGAGGACAAAATTTGTGATTTTTTTTTTATTACTGTTTTAAAACTAGCTATTCATGGAATCAACAATTAATCGTTTATTAGTAAAGTAAGGAAGGAGATAGTATTAAAGAAATAATAATCTTTTAACTGATTAAGGATCTTTTCGTGTTTCTTTTAAAGGGAACATAACATTTCATTACGTAATTTAATGTTTAAAATTTAAATTAAAAGGTGCAAATGTGGTTCTGACACCAGAAATGGCTGCAAATGTGGTGATAAGGAAACACCTTACTTTTGACCCGTTGCCGTATTACCACCTTTCAAGGACCTGTGGTAATGACAATATATATTTTTTTTTTATGTACCGGTATTTCTTTTTTAATACTTTTCTTTTTTGTAGTACTTTGAGGTCTTTTTGATGAAAAGTGCAGTATAAATTAAATGTATTATTAATATTATTATTATAAATACTGCTGTGATTTAAAGGAGCAAGTATCTGATTAAAATGGTCACAGGGGAACACAGTGGTCAAAGTAAAATAAAAGTACTTAGCATTTATTGGAGTACTCTTATAAAACAGTAGATTTTCTGGATTCTTATAAGTAAAGGACTAAGCGCTTTAATAATAAAACTCTTACAAATAGCTGACCTTGCATTTTTAAAATGTAAGTGTTTTTCAAAGTGTGTCAAACAGTATTGTAAAGAAACACCTCAATATGTATTTAACATGATTTATGCTTTAAAGCTGATGATGGACATGTCTGGATGCCTTAAAACACATGCGCTCTCCACATGGTGTGCAATTGTGTTTTAGTGACAGAAAGGCATTTCTCAGGACAAAAGAGGTGAACAAGGTGTAGCTCAGGACTTTTACAATTGCTTTTTTTCCAACTTTGTTTTTGTTTGCTATTTTTGTCTTTACATTTTGTATGAAAAGCGGTTCCTTCAATAAGCTTTTTGGAATGAGGTCCATAAATATGCTTCAAGAATGTTATTCCTTAATTGTTCTCATGGTCCTGCTTCTGCATGAGCCGCTGTAAATGAGTGGTCCTTTCTGGATGGAAACTGGCAAAAACCCATGTTTCTATCTACTTTTTTATATTTAAATGAAGGAAAGTGTGATGCATGTCCATACGGCATCATTTAACATCTACTTTCCCTTCCTTGGCCTTCAGCCCTCACCTCCTGGGTAGTATCGGGTTCCTGTCCCTTCCATCTTCTGTGTAGAGTATTGATCTCCCAGCCCAAGGTCCAAAGTCAGAGTAGTTCCCAATTGGTCCCTGGGGGTCTTATTTCATCTAGACGATCATGGAGAAAATGAGGTGTAACACTGAAGTACAGAAATCCTTCAGGCTTGTCAGCAATCAGCTAAATACTGGAAGCAGCCCCGAAGAAAACCAAAGACTTGATACTGGGCTCTACATGTGTGGCTCATGACAACAAACATCATCTTAGCAGACGTCCAACACGTACATTTGTGTCTGTAATATAAGCCATCCAACAAAAGCATGTTTGTTTTAGCTAAGAAGATGGTGTGAGAACAACTCAATAGAGAGCCTTCGTAGGAAAGCTCAGTGTATAAATGCCAAGCCGATGAAGCCCCTCATGCTCTGACCCATGTAACACAACTACATGGTATTTTTGTTACTCGAAGGCAGTTTGTTTTCACAATGTTGGATGATGTCAGAACCACAGAAAATAAAGTTCTTTTGACTTTTTTTTCTCGTGGAAACTTGGTCTCACAGTCGCACATGCGATCAACAACCCAGTTCAGCATGTCTGTTTCTTGTCTCCTCATCTCCAAGCTGGAGGCTGAACTTAGTGGGGTAGGTGCTGGTGCATAAAACACATGTGAGCACAGTTGATGGATTTATAAAACAGTCTTCAGAGTCCCACCTGTTTTGCCGCTGTGGTTACAGCATTTCTCCTAGAGGGTCAGTGTGTATTGACCTTAGACACACTGATGCCCAGAAACACATCTAAATCTTATGCAAAACACTTGGTAAACAAACTGGTTTGGATATTTCAGTGGTATTATACAACGATCCTTATATGTTTTTCATAAACTTTCTTGGAGCCATTGCCAAACAATTTCAGGGGATATGATAAGGCAGAGTCCTTATGTTAGCATGAGAACGCCTGAAAAATGGAAAACCATCAGTATGATTTCACTGCAAAAACAATCCAGAAATAAGTAAAAAATGGCTTAAATTAAGTATATTTAGCCTTAATTTGAGCAGGTAAATAAGATGATTTGCCAATGGAATGAGTATTTTCACTCTTAAAATAAGATAGTTAGATAATATTTACTTGAAATAAGACGATAAAATAGTTTTTTCTTATTTTAAAAGGAAATTGTCTTGTTCCATTGGCAAAGTGTCTTACTTATCTCCTCAAATCAAGGAAAAACACACTTATTTTAAGAAAAAATAACTTATTGAGATTTATATTTTTTGCAGTGCGCCATTGATTGCACTTGCTATTACCTCAACATGTGTTTAGATCTGGTTGAGAAATCTCAAGGAATGAAGCTGAAGGAGTCAGATTATCTCAAATCTGGGCTTGTATTGCAGGCTCAGACTTTGGCAAGAACTGTGCCCACATTTGTTTTCATCCACCTTTGATCTTTCCACCTATCTCTGCCCTGTACATTCCTCCTTCCTCTTCTGTTTTTCCTTTCGCCTCCCTCCTCATCAGGACAATGCCCTCCCCTGCAATTGGCTGGATCTGCTCCACCTCTTTATCCTAGAAAAGTGTTTCCCATGCAGTTTTTCTCACCCTAGATTGTTTTTCCTTTTTGTTTGTTGATGAAAGTGAATTCCTTGCTAAAATAACCGCTTAGCAGCATTTTAGACCTCCTGTTTTCAAAAATGATATTTTTTTCTGAGAAGCTGTTGTTTTTTTTTTAACCAACCTAAATAGATATTTTTTTATATTAAACTAAATAACAAGTCAGAAATCTGGAAGTGATGTACAGAAATGTACAAAACTCTTGAGTGATCCTCCTTTTCTTTAAACCTTGCTTCCTTTCTCTATTCAGACCAAACTGTTAGACCAATAAAGAGAATAATATGGTGAAAGATGGGGGTCGCAACTTTATGCTGTGGGAATGATGTAAAATGGATGGAGCTAAATGCAGGTCCTCCAGCAAAAGAAAACTATAAAAAGATGCAATAAAATGAGACTCAGATAACAGCAGGAAACTTTAGGGGCTACCATAAATGAATCATAAATGATTTAGATAGAAGCAGAAAGGCTCCAGGTTTTAATCCAGCTGAGAATTTTCGAAGCTTTAGATCTAGTCTTAATGAGTCTGGGTTATTTTTAAATTGACATTCTCTACAGAATTAAGCAAAGCTGATGGTAAAATCAACAAACAACAATTTCAATCTTTTGAAAGCCATGTTTAAAAATCTCTTATATTTCATTTCATTTTATATTAATATACTTTACTGTGATAAAACTTTTCAGAGAAACCTACAGGTCACTGTTAGTGCTATATTAAAAAATCTAAGAATATTTAGGTGAGTAAGAAGTTATGAATTTCGTAGTTAAGTTCAAAAAAAACTAACCGTAAAGGGATTTTTGGACCGCACTCTAGTGGGGAAGATGTGTAGGGAAAAAAGGCCTGGGCCAAGAGTCAGTCCTCCACCTGCTCTTATCGCTGAGCCATGCCAGAGGCCAAAAGTGGACAGATATCAAACATGTGCTCTATGATAATATTATAGTCCCTTTGACAACAGTCTGTCAATAACCTTATTTTAAGTCCCATAAATATGTGATAAAACTGTATCTGGTTTATTATTTTTATTACAGATAGCCCAAACTTTGGCTTTAATTCCAGCTGGAAAAACAGGTGGAGAGCGTTTATTTTTACATTCTTCTCTTTCTAACTCCCCATGTTTTCTATTTTCATATATCCCACTTTTCACGTTTCTCTTGTCATCAAGAGGAAACCCAAGCTGAGCTGTGACTTAATTTATGCCTCAAGTCGAACTTAGCACTATTGCACCCTTAGATTAGCACATTAATATGTATTTATTTCAGATTAAAGGACAGAATGGTGTATTCATTGTTTAGATTCGCCTTTAACCAGACTAGAACAATGGTGTCCCTTTTGTGTAGGGCGCTGTACTGTAAGTCTGTTGGTATCCTTAACAATGATTGAATCCAAACATATAAACATAAAACATATGATTTAATCTCGACTGTCAATGAACTTATTATCTAATACCCATGCTGCAGTGCTTTCATGCTCTAGAGAGAGCTGTGCTGAAATGTTGAACGATGGGTTATTTTAATGGAAGGATAATTGCAGTTGAAGGAACCACAAGTAATTCATTAAGTGAAGTAGTTGTTAAGTAAAGTAAAACTTGTTCCCTTTAGCATCCAAAAAGTTTTCTTTTTTGTCATTACTTGTTATTTCTTCATCTACTTTTTATATTACTTTAATTATTCCCTCTTTACCCTTTTTCCTGTTGTCTTTTCTTTTTTGTACAGGATATGGAAATCTGGGAACTGGATTTGGTAAGATTGATTTTTTTTTATTAGAACTGATTTGGTGCTAAAAAAAAATAGTAATGTGTTTTATTGATACTACAACGTTTAATGCTAATTATTTACTTATAACTAAATGATCTGTTATAGCTTAATGGTAACAACATTTACTAAATGTTTGTCTTTTAGGTGGTTATGGGGGCTACGGCGGAGGCACTGGAGGGTTTTTCCCAGGACAAAAAGCTGCAAAACCAGGTTTGTTTAATATCTAGAAATATGTCAATGAGGATGCATTAAAAAAGTGATGGGAAAAATTAATAATTTAGAAAAGACTCACCAGGGACCTGTCTGTATCTGCTTGTCCAGTTGGTGGGAACCAGTGCCCCCTTGTGGGCAATTATAAGAAATCATTCATGCCTGATAGTACTCATTTTTAATGGAGTTTTTAAGCAGTTAAGAATATATTTCACTATCTCTAGAATAAATTCTCACCTTTTCTGAGCTAACGATTTGGGTGATTCCATACAAGATATTTAAAACACAGCTTATGTTCAATACTTTCTTTTAGGAATTACCAGAGTTGAAAATTACAGAATTACTATCAGCTGAAGCCTTTAAATACACAACAAGCACTTCAAAAAACCAACACTGCTCTATAGTTTATTTAAATCATTATTCACACTTTTTAAAACAATTTTGAGAGTAATAATATTTAACCTAGTAAAAACACACATTTTAATTCAAATACATTTACTAAAAACATCAGAAGTTATTCTTGATTACTCAAAACAAAATTCTGAATCTTTTTCATAGTAATCTTTGTATAATGTTAAGATACCATAACAAAATGAAATAGAAATCAGGGATAGAAAGGTATTGGCTGTATTTAATAACAGGCTGTCTGTACTTTGTCATTTTTAAGTAGTTTATATTACCCAAACTTTTCTTTTTGCTTGAGTAGGTTTTGATTCAAGTACTTTTACTCCCTCACATTTCAAATCACATATGTTACTGGGTAAAATAATAATAATAATATTAAAAGAAAAAAAAAAAACAACAACAAACAAACACCAAAAGCAATTGTTGAATAGTTGGGTTAGAGATACATCGAGCGTATTCTATGTGAGATCAATTTAATTTATTTCTTACTTGTAGTTAAGCTGGTCCCTAATATAATTATGAAATTTAAACAAAGTTTACATAAAGAGATTAAACTGTAAACCTAAAAAAAAACACATCTACTTTGTACCTAATTAGTCAAAAGGATGGAATTAAAAAAAAAGGTTTTAAAATTTATTGTGAAACTATTCTCATTTTTAGACAGTTATATACAATTTATTTATTTTTTAACAAAAAGGTTGTTCATCTAAAGCTAAGAATACAACATTAGCACTAATGACATATACTTATAATTACTGCATTCAGGAGTCAATATACAGTATTTGGTTTAAGTTTATTAGAGAATATGTTTACAATCTGGAACTCGCTATATTTGGTAATAGTTTGGTGTCAATTATTGAAAAGTGTTAGATAGAAAGGGGTTGTCTGAATACCTTTATGTGTGTGAACACCTCTGCTGCCCATTAGAACATTCAGCTGTGCTGGGCTGCTGTTCTCTGCAGAGAGAGCAAGACTGAACATTATGGAAATCACTGCTGCACCAACTATGTACAACATGCTAAACAATGATTTAACAACACATATAAATAATCTTAATTTTATCTGGTGCTTCTGAATATAATTCATCATTACTAAAGAGAAACATTTTAATGAATTTCCTTTTACCTTCATTGGAATAAATAATGCAAGTAAAGTTACAGTGGTATCCTTAAAAAAATTATTTAAAATTAAATAGAAACTAATAGAAATGAATGTCTGTCTCAAGTTAAAGGAAATAAAACAATAGATAAATATGGCAGGATGATAAAATAATATTCTGAATTAATCTAAATAAAACAAAAATAAATAAAAATTATAAAGGAACATTGAGAAAACAGGTAACAAATAACAAAAGATGAGATTCGACTGAAGGTTTTCAGGCACAAGGGAAGCAGAGCCTGGTTTAAGAACAGGGATGCCCAAATTTCTGAGAGCAACATTGAGATGCATCCTTGTTCTAACGAAGGGCAAGTAGATAGTTGAGTTCCCTCGTCCCAATCATTCTCTCTCTAGAGTCTCAGTAATAAGCTACTAAGGTGTGTTGGAGAGAGATGCATTGAAAATTTGAAGGGTGTAGCTCTTGAGGACAAAACAGGACACCTCTGGCTCAGAATGAGCTTGAATGTCGTTCAGTGAATCTCAAATGCAACAGATGATTATACTGATAGTATCAATTGCTTTTCTACGCATCCTTTCATGAACCGTTGCCAGCAAATAAAGCTCAGTGATTTTATTGAAATCTGGGGCTCATTAAACTAAAAAATGACTAAATGTTTTTGGAACCAGCCCATGCTTAGATTGCACGCATGACGTTTGTATTTGCTTTGATTGATTCAGTGATATTATTAAATGTGTTGTGGGGAATTTGATGAATGATTATATTCTAAATCACAGAGTTATATGGTCCAAAGGTGTTGGGATATGTAGCTTCTCTGTGAACAGAAACATTGTCTCTCCCTCTTATTCTGAGAGGGCGTTTGTGTTATTAATTAAAAAAAAAACAGTTTTTTTAATTCTTCTGTGTGAAGGAAGAATTAGCAGCATATATGTTTTATGTTAGCTGTAGTTCCGCTACCTCCACTTCAGTGGTGTCCATCTATCCACCCGCTCAGGGAAGAAACGGTAACTGGAACAATATTCAGCTTATTTGGTCAGATTTGCTGCAGCTTTCTAAGACAAACCTGTCGGGGAAACAATAAAGAAGTCAATCTTTCCAGTGGTGATCATGATGGTTCCTCTAGATCTCTAATACTGACAAATATGGCTCAAGCTCTGTTCTTTAGACAGGTGCAGGAGGCCCCCAAGCAGCCACCAGGGGGTCGTTTTCAGCCTGTTGGCAGACTACTGTGCAGACGGCAGACTGTGCTGACTGAAGCCCTTTCACTCTTTTGATAAATCGACACGCTTGCATGTTTTAAGACAGCCAGAATGTATGTTGTGCATTAATGGAAGCTCAGTATGAAAGCTGTGTTTGGCAAGCATTTACATTTTTATCATATACTTTTAAACCTTAAGACAGTTTGAACCTCAGCAGAGCTCGACCTGACGTTCCAATCTGGAGCATGTGCATGCACATCATTTGCTTTAAATTAGCCTGACTGATTAGAGGTGAACTCGGGGGGCCTCAATCATGTCCGGGGCCGCTCCGTGGCAAAGAGCCTGCACTTAAATATTGGTTGGCAGTGACAAAACATCAGTCTGTTCTGCCTCCATGACACTTAAAATAACATTGTGTTTCTCTGAAACAGAACAGATTTTTTTTAAGAAAAGAAATTCCTTGCCAAGCTTTTTCTCACCAAATCTTCCAGACTACATACTTTAAGGTAGTGCGCAACGTCTGTCTATTAAAGCTATGGGAATTTAAGATTAAAGTTTTTCAAGGAAAAAAAAAACTAAAACAAATAAACAATGTGTTTCATGCTGGAGCAAAACTGATGTCCAACAGAACATGACAGCTCACTTCCTACAAAGAGGAGATAGCCAAGAAAAATCGGTATTTTTAACGCGGCAAGACACCATAGATTCCCCCTGTCTCCTCTGATTAGAATAAAGTCAAAGCGGATTTTTTTGTCTTGTGATGATGACAGACTAGTAGAGCCATTTTAGATCCTCTCAGTGTCCATGATTAGCTTAGTGAACCCAACACATCTTAGACACAATGACGTGTGGTCTGGGTCAGGACTGGTGAGGCATTGACTTGTTTGGAATTAGAAAAATATATGAACCCATCAATATCTAAGTTTAAACCTCAACTTATATATTCAAGGCAAGGCAAGTTTAATTATATTGCACAATACGGTACAAATACAATTCAAAGGGCTTTACATGAATGAAATAATATAACAGAAGGAAAATAAAAGTAGATTAAAAGCAGATAAAGATAAAAACATGATAAAAGCAGGTATAAAAACAAATAGAACAGTTGGACCACAGCCTCAGTGCTCTAGAGGGGCGCGTCTTTAGCTCTTCACAACCACTATTGAGCATTTTTCCTTTGGATAAACTTAACATGCACAAGTGCACTCTCACAAACAACTACAGGTGCTTGGTTCCAGGTACTTAGAGATTCATTTCCATACAGAAAGCCCATATTCTTATCTTCAGCTACTACAGTATACATGTCAGATTAAATAAAACTACTTATACTTCAGCGATAGTATCTAGGTGCTACTTTATTGTATCTCTTATACTATAGCCTATCGGCTGGTCGTGCTGTTCTTTTTACATCTCTTTGCAGGTGATGAAGCAGACTGAAGATGTTTTATTGTTATCTCCGTTTTATCTCCTCTTTCTTTCATCTTTCTCCTTTTTTTCTGTTTTTCCTTTCCTGTTCTACTTACATTGCAGTGTCCATCTAATCTGTAATACTCCCTGCATGAATTATAATAAAGCTATTTATATGCATAAATCAAGCGGAACACTGTGGTGAAAGCTGAACTGCTTTGCTTGTTAAAGCAAAATCTGTTGGGCTGTCGTTTTGGCATCAAGACAAATATTCTTTTTGCCACATTACCAGACAGAGCACTGTTAAAAAAAAATTCAAAATTTGAACCTCAACTTATATATTCAAGGCAAGGGAAGTTTAGTTATATAGCCCAATATGGTACAAATACTATTCAAAGGGCTATACATGAATTAAATAATATAATAGAAGGAAAATAAAAGCAGATCAAAATAAAAAAAAAAGGTAAAAGCAGGTATAAAAACAAATAAAACAGTTGGACCACAACTTCAAACTAATAATACCTCAGTTATTAATTTAACCTTAGCAGTTAAAGGCAGCTAAATAAAGTTTTTTTTTTTTTTTTTTAAGATCTCAAGCTTTCAGCACTTTTAGAGTCTTCTGGAAGATTGTTTGTTCTAGTTAAGTGGAGCACAGGAACTAAATGCTGCTTCTCCATGTTTGATTCTAGTTGTGTGTGAACAGACTAGGCTTGAACTAGAAGACCTGAGTGATCTGGGAGGTTTCTACAATGACATAAAGTTGGAAATCAAGTTACGCCTGTTTGTAATAAACTCCATAGAAGTAGGTTGTATCATCCAAGTCTTTTAAAATCTCTTGGTTCTTCCTCAGCTTCACATTGTGGAACCTCCTTTCTGGTTTCTGAGCTACTGATTCAAACCTAAGTAAATCTGTGTCACCCCAAATGCTTTCTGTTATATATGCCGTTAAATATCTGTAGTTGATCTTTTATGTTCTGAGATTCATTGATGAGTTTTTCATCTGATAATATCCAGACATTGTCACATTTTGAAAAATAGGAGCCAAAACCAGACAGTACATCTTTTCAGGTGTTCCTCGCCGGTTGAAAGAGGTCATTAAGCTGCAGACCTGGCCTCCCTCTCTCTGATATCTCTACTTGAAATATAATCACTTAATTTTACAAATTCAAAAGAATGCACAATGACAGACTTGTCGTTACTGTGCAACATGTAAGCCTACCCCTTATACTACCCGTAGTGCCTTCAATAATATTTGCCCCACCATGCACCCCTTTTATTGCATTTTTTGCATTTATTCATAGATCTAAATATGTCACACACATTCATTACCTATTAGATAGTGAGATGCCAGCATCTGTAATGCACATGTAACAAGACATGTATATTCCCATGTAAAGATAAATTACACACATTAGCCCCTGTGTGGCATGACATCAGTAGAGCTGAGGCTGAGATCCTCACAACAGATTTTTAGAAAAAACATATCTATAGAGCCAAGGGCGTAGGTTTGATTTGAACTTTGGTAGGGACACTATTGGTCTGGTGTCATTGGTGCTATGCAATATGCATGCCCTTTTTTATGCTGGATGTGAGCATCCGTACTGATAAGAGGAATTCATTGTTAAAAGAGAAAAGCAATATTTTGCTCCATTAATAAAAATGTTATAAGCTCTACACTCATTAGATGCTGTTTATCAATGTTTGAAGTATTACCGGCTCTGATGAATGTGGAATTAGGACTGTTTTCCACTTTGAAAACGGTTTCATTTGAACGACTAAGAGAGAAGGTAAATACAGTATTTTCTTTTGAAGATATACAATTGTGCAGAGTTAAACCCCACTCTTATATTTGTACCTACTATTCTCTCTCTGTATCAAGCAAAATAATACATTCATTAAAATATTAACTTCACTATAAAAGTTGAACATCTGGGCTGTAGTTACTCTGTGTAGCCCATCTCATGTATTTCATCTGGGGCTGAAAAAAATGAATCATATTAATTAATTATTTCAATAATCGTCAACTAATTTAGTATGTGATTCATCATTAACTGGAGTATAGAGACTTTAAAACATACAGTAATATAAATGTAAAATGTGCCTTTCCCCACAGAGCAACCCACTTAGATAAAAGTCTCAAGAACCAGGGATATTAGATTTTGTATTATTATTTTTTTTTTTACTCAAAGCTGAATCCCTTCTTAAAAGCAGCTCATCTGAGGTTCTTCTATTATGGTGGTTTAGCTCACAATCTGAACTGGGAATCGGATGCAGAACAGGTCTTTGTTGTCTTTATCTCTCAGCTCCCACTCCACAACACATTTGATAGAAGGATACTCGCTCTTTACTGGTAATGAAGCAAAATTGTAAAAATAAAAACAAAAAAATGAAAACAGTAATATCAACTAAATATCAGTAAAAAGGAAACCCTCACATTTTCTTTTTTAGTTGGCTGTGGCCAAGAATCAGAAATGTTGATGGCTTACAGCCTTTATTTGCCCATTTTTCCAGCAGCCTTCAGAACTCCTGGCTGACTCAGAATATTTCGTTTTATAAAATAAAAAAAAAAAGGTTTTTTTTTTTAGTGTACATGATATTCATTTTTTTTTATTGGGACTAGTTTTGTAGCCTAATATTAATTGTTGTAACCGCTGCATTCTAGTGTGAATAAATTTTCAATGTTGTGCTCCAAGCACACGCGGACTAGTAAACAGCCAATCAGAGAGAGAGAAGGCGGAACTTAGGGCAGAACAACCAATGAGAGTGGAGTTAAACAGCGCAGCACAGTTCCATGCGCTGCTACGTGAAAGGGACAGGAGAGACCAGGCAGAGGAGCTGCGAGAGGAAAAGAAGCCACTGCTGCAACAACTACTGTAAATTATAAACATGTTGCTCACATCCAATTATTGGTAGGGACAATTAGGTCGGTTCAAAATTTTGGTAGGGACATGTCCCTATGGTCCCTATGCAAACCTACGCCCATGTACAGGTGCTGGTCATAAAATTAGAATATCATGAAAAAGTAGATTGATTTCAGTAATTCCATTTAAAAAGTGAAACTTGTATATTATATTCATACATTACATACAAACTCATATATTTCAGATGTTTATTTTGTTTAATTTTGATGATTACAAATGACAACAAATGAAAATCTCAAATTCATCATATCAGAAAATTAGAATATTGTGAAAAGGTTCAAAATTGATGGCCCCTGGTGCCACACTCTAATCAGCTAATTAACTCAAACCACCTGCAAAAGCCTTTAAATGGTCTTTCAGTCTAGTTCTATAGGCTACACAATCATGGGGAAGACTGCTGACTTGACAGTTGTCCAAAAGACGACCATCGACACCTTGCACAAGGAGGGCAAGACACAAAAGGTCATCGCTAAAGAGGCTGGCTGTTCACAGAGCTCAGTGTCCAAGCACATTAATAGAGAGGCGAAGGGAAGGAAAAGATGTGGTCGAAAAAAGTGTGCAAGCAAGAGAGATAACCGCACCCTGGAGAGGATTGTGAAACAAAACCCATTCAAAAATGTGGGGGAGATTCACAAAGAGTGGACTGCAGCTGGAGTGAGTGCTTCAAGAACCACCACACACAGACGTATGAAAGACATGGGTTTCTGCTGTCGCATTCCTTGTGTCAAGCCACTCTTGAACCACAGACAGCGTCAGAAGCGTCTAAACAGAAACAGGACTGGACTGCTGGTGAGTGGTCCAAAGTCATGTTCTCTGATGAAAGTAAATTTTGCATTTCCTTTGGAAATCAAGGTCCCAGAGTCTGGAGGAAAAGAAGAGAGGCACTTCATCCACGTTGCTTGAAGTCCAGTGTAAGTTTCCACAGTCAGTGATGGTTTGGGGTGCCATGTCATCTGCTGGTGTTGGTCCATTGTGTTTTCTGAGGTCCAGGGTCAACGCAGCCACATACCAGGAAGTTTTAGAGCACTTCATGCTTCCTGCAGCTGACCAACTTTTTGGAGATGCAGATTTCATTTTCCAACAGGACTTGGCACCTGCACACAGTGCCAAAGCTACCAGTACCTGGTTGAAGGACCATGGTATCCCTGTTCTTAATTGGCCAGCAAACTCTCCTGACCTTAACCCCATAGAAAATCTATGGGGTATTGTGAAGAAGAAGATGCAATACACCAGACCCAACAATTCAGAAGAGCTAAAAGCCACTATTAGAGCAACCTGGGCTATCATAACACCTGAGCAGTGCCACAGACTGATCGACTCCATGCCACGCCGCATTGCTGCAGTAATACAGGCCAAAGGAGGCCCAACTAAATACTGAGTGCTGTACATGCTCATACTTTTCATGTTCATACTTTTCAGTTGGCCAACATTTCTATAAATCCTTTGTTTTTATTGGTCTTCAGTAATATTCTAATTTTCTGATATGATGAATTTGAGATTTTCATTTGTTGTCATTTGTAATCATCAAAATTAAACAAAATAAACATCTGAAATATATGAGTTTGTATGTAATGTATGAATATAATATACAAGTTTCACTTTTTAAATGGAATTACTGAAATCAATCTACTTTTTCATGATATTCTAATTTTATGACCAGCACCTGTATAGAGCAATCGCAAGTATTTGATTTTCTTTATGTTTTAAATACTTACAGATTTTATATGTGCAGCACCTTTCTATACATGCTAAATCCTTACAGGACTGTGGGAGCAACAGTGCCATTCTTGAATAGTAAATTCATATTTTTCTAAAAAAAATAAAATAAAAAAAAAAAAAAAAAAATATATATATATATATATATATGTATATATATATATATATATATATATATATATATAGTGTAAAGTTTTTGCGGTCGGTGGTGATTTGGGGAGAGCTTCCCCTTGCTGGTGTTTGTCCGCTGTGTCTCATGAAGGCCAAAGTCAGAGCCGCCTTTTCTGAGAAAAAATGTGAAAGCGTTCATTAAATTGTCTGTTGTCAAGCTTTAATTTCTTAGCTACTGGCCAACATTGATAGAATTATACCACTCTGTGTCATAAATCATTTGACGATACTGAGTTCACTGTAATATTTCTTATACTTTTCTAATTTATTGATATGTACCTGTAAACTCTTTCTGCTGTATTAGGTGCAGGAGTACGGCCGGGAGTCACTGGAACTGGACCCGGTGGAGGTAAGAGATTCTCTACATTCTCAAGCTGTTAGTCTGAAAAATGAAAATGTTGGAACTTAAACCAAAGCCATGTTTGAAATGTAATAGAGTAAAATAAGAAAAAAATATAATAATTAAGAAATGGCTTCAGAAGAATAAATTAATTGTCCTTAGCTCAACACTATGACTAGAAATGTGTTATTTTAGCCAGGGCATATATGTCACTCCCTGCTTGATGATCCATGAAACGCTTTATGTTTTTTTTTCTTTTCGATTCCAGCACCTGTTATCCCTCAGACAGGCCTTCCAGGAGGATCTGGTGGTTCTGCAGGAAAGAAAGCTGCCAAAGTGCCAGGTTTTGTAGAGTCAACAATAAATTCATGAGGTTGAAGACAGACAGAAAGCAGAACCGAGCAACATTACAGACAGGCTTTTATTGCATGTGGCAGATGTTCGGTGTGGCGATAAATGTATCCGTGGTGATTCAAATCCAAGCTGACTGACGTCTAAAGTTTTAAAATAGGTTATGTGGTTTTTAAGAGATGAGGTACTGTTTAAAATTATAGAGGAAAAAAATCCTTTGAGTAACACTGTGAGTGCATAATCTTTTACAGTAACCTGCTTTTCGGGATCAATGGCTTGTGGATTTGACCTAAAAGAATGTATCTATCAATATAGTACCACATTGTTTACTATTTTCTTTATACATTCTGTTTTGATGCAAAATGCATTTTCAGATCTAAGTGTTAAGGTTTTATTTACCTTATTTTTTCAGTCAAAGACAGGACTATTACAATCATCATAGTTTTATTATTTTAAGAATTTTTTTTTACAGCTCAGTTGACAAAACCAGCTACTAGTGCTATTCTGACTCACTTGAGATTTACATCCTACTTTTACTCTCTCCAAATATGATCATATGTGCTTTACTGAGAGCATAGGACAAGAAACAGATCAGACGGTAAAGACCATTGATCAAATATTATTAAAATTACATTTGAACTTTGACTAGACCAGAGTAATCCTCAACGGAAACATACAGATAATGTTACATGATAAATTTACTTTATATCATACTTTGTTAAGCTTTTGTGAGTTAGCTTATGCACGTTGAAACATTTCGTTTGGCACTACAGAGTATTCTTAAAATATTAGTAGTTGTCTGGTGCTATTTCAAAAGAAAGGCTTTGTCTTCACTGCAATGCCGCCTCGACCCATCTGATGTTGCCATATCATGCCACTTTTGCTGATTAGGTTCTTCTTTAGGAAGACGAAATAATGTCTAACAACTCTCACAGGTGAAAACACATTTTAATGACTTAGAGATTAGCTAAACTGTCACTATGCAGATTGAAATGCAAATTATGGAATACTCATAAATTCTGCCCCCAAAACGCAAAGTATGAGAATAACTCAGATATGAATAGGTTAAAGCTTTGTGCCTTTGTCCCCAAGCACAGTGGTGGGTAGGATTGCATGGCCCTGTGGGAGTTTCTTGTAGAGGTTTACTTTGGGATTGGTGCAGCGGAGCAAAACTGCATTTTCCTCAAATGTTCAAGGTTAATATCAGCTGAGACATTGGTCTCCAATGTCCAAAATGAACAACATTGTTTATTGCATAACAACATGAACATACAATGTAATCATGAAAAAAAAAATGGGAAGATTGGTTTGGTACCTTTGTACTGACAAAAAAACAGCTAGTCTTCTGTTTATCCCTGTTGAGTTTGACTTCACGTAAGGTCAGCAGCAGTTTATATATCCTTTACATTTTTTAAAGCTTATTAACTCTGTTCCATTCTAAATACTTTGGGTTAACTGTTCCGGAGTCATATGCAGCAAAATGAGAGCATTTAGCCATTTTTTATCTGTTTTTTTTTCCCTATGTCCCATGTCGACTATTACTTTTTTATGCAAAATCCTGCCAAAGTTGTCAGAAAGCGGGAGACTTCTGCTCTTGCTGGAAAGGGGCTTTGATTGATTGACATTTGGCGTCACTTCAATTGTTTTCCTAGGAAAAGTTAATTCCACCTTAGCTGTGGGTCTTTCCAGCTCCACAAGAGAAACTGTGGGCATTTTGGCTACTCTTTTGATTTTTGCTTTCTTAAACTGATCATTTTAGAGGGATGGCAATGTTTTGCAAGGTTTGCAGTTGAGACATACTCTTTCCATTTTAACATAATGGATCCTTTAGTGCTCTAAAAGTCAAAAGCCTGTTTTTTTAATGACTTAAACTTGCTTTAAACTTCTCCATAACCTAATTCCACCTGTCTTCATCGGTCTTCATCATATTGAGAGTGATGGTGTCAATACAATAATATATAGATATATATAGATATTTACATATCTCAACCAGAGGTGTCAATAAATAGGAAGAATTATTTTGAAAATGAAACAATGCTACATCTTTCATATATTTCCTGAAGTGACGCAAAAACCAAACTGATGTTTTTGTTACTACTTGACTAAAGGTAGGTTGAGGATAAAAAAGTTAACTGCAGATAAAAGATGGTGGCTTTAGATTTAGCAACCTTAACAATGATGGCAAAGTTGCCTAAGAAATAAGTTGATTGTGTGCCATGTTTGTGTATTGAGAAAGTTACCGTAGTTAACTGTGAGGCATTCTCCAAATCTCCACTTTTTTTAAAGGTTTTGATTAACAAAAGTCTCTCATCTGTATATCCGTAAATTGGAAGCAAACATTTCCTCTCATTTGATGTTGCAGGTGTGGGTGTTCCTGGACTTTACCAAGGTGGAGTTGTACAGGGAACAGGTTTGTGTTTATTAATTAAGTCCATCAGGCTTGCATCCTGTTTCTCTCATGGTTAATCATTTATTTACTTTTTTTCTGTTTCTCTTTCAGGGTTTGGTAACCGTGGAGTTCTGCCTGGGGTGGCGACTGGAACTAACTTAAATCCCAAATCAAGTAAGGTTGAGATTTTGACTCCAGTCTGCCAAGTGACACTTCTTTAAACTTAGATGACTGCAACATGATGCATATTTCCAAAGTCAAGAAGAATTAATAAATGTCAAGAAAAATGGAATTAAGATCTACAGCATTTGGGGGGGAAAATGGGGGGAAATATGTTATAGATCAGAGTTTACAGCTGCAGCATTTTCTAACCTTTTGACTTTAATATGTATATTTTTCTTATACAGTTGGAGGACAACAAGGAGGTCAAGGACCAGGTTAATATTAAATCTAGATTTTTATAAAGTAATTTGTATTTTGTTAGAGTTGGTAGTGTAGATATAACAACAAAACTACTTATTTTCTTTTTCAGGAACTAGAGGGTTTGGTGGACCGATGCAGCCAGGAGTGTTTCGTGGATACCCCCTCAAATCACCCAAAGGTGATCTTAAATCTTAAAATATTTTGTTCCTTTAAAATGTTATATTTTCTGTTACTAATCTTTTGTTAAATAATGCGTAACCTTTCCAATGTTGAGTTCACCCATACTTTCAGTTACACAGAAGATGGGAGAATGCAAGAAAAGCTTGAAGATATTGATAATCTTTTTTTTTTTGTAATTCAAAATTTTTATTGATTTCTTGCATATTGTCAAATAAAATACAAACATGAACAGTAATCAACAGAAAAAACAGAAAAAAGGCTGGTGCACCCCCCCAACCCCCCCATCAGGGTACAGCTGTACATATGCATGTCACAGTGTTAATTCAAAAACTTATAGTATCTGGGAAAAAGTTAGTCCGGGAAAAACAAGAAGCTTTATCCAACCAAGTCACACAGAAGCCGTAGTCCTTTTTACAGAGTCCCAGAAACTTTCACATTCCATGTTCTTGTTCCCTTCTATGTTGTAGAGCATGGTTTCATAGGAAGCTGTGGTCGTCATTGATTTAATCCACTCATTTAGCTCGGGACATTTTGTAGTCTTCCAATGTCTTAAGATGATCTTGCAGGCTGTTACCAGACCAACCACCACAATTGTAAAAGCTCCTTTTGGGGTGTTCGGCATTTGAGACCTGTCTCCCAGTAAACACAATTCCGGAGTCTGAGGGATCTCTGAAGATATTGTTAATCAATTTGCTCCTAAGACTGTGATAAACAAGGGCTTCCCCAATCTACTGTTGGGCATATCCATCCTTTGGTATAACTACAAATAATTTGGCATATTTAACTGAAAGCATCATTATTTTGTTTTCTGAAATCATCACCTAAAAGCTCTTAAAATTTAATGATTACAGTACACATTTTGAAAAGCTAATTATAGAAGAGAATACAATTTTACTTTACTGTCACTACCTTGTCACATGTACAAAATTCACCCCCTGCATTTAACCCATCCCATGGAGGTTTTTAACAACTCGCTGGACCAATCCGTAGTGCTAGCATGCTTTAAGTCTGCCACCATCATTCCGGTCCCAAAGAAGGCTCAGGTCACCTCACTTAATGACCTTTTGCACTGACTACCATCATGATAAGGTGCTTTGAAAGGCTGGTTAAAAAACATATTGTCTCCAGTCTCCCCCGAACATTTGACCCGTGCCAATTTGCCTACCGACGGAACCGACCCACTGAGGACGCCATCTCCTCTGCTCTTCACCTGAGCCTGGCATACCTGGATAAGAAGAAGACCCATGTACGGATGCTGTTCCTGGACTTCAGTTCAGCTTTCAACACCATCATCCCACAGCATTTGATAGACAAACTGGAACAGCTGGGATTCAATACATTACTTTGAAACAGGCTGCCAGACTCAGTCAGTCCAGGTTGGACAGAACACCTCTGATGGCATCACCCTAAACACAGGCTCCCCTCAGGGCTGCGTACTGAGCCCCCTGCTGTTCACCATGATGACACACGACTGCGTCCCCAGGTTCACCACCAATAACATCGTGAAGTCTGCAGACAACACCATGGTGGTGGGCCTCATCAGACGACAATGTCAAAGATTACAGAGAGAAGGTGGAGCAGCTGGTGGACTGGTGCAGAGATAACAGCCTGATCCTGAATGGGGAGAAGACGAAGGAGATTGTCGTCGACTTCCGGAAGAACCGTCCTAACCACGCTCCACTGCTCACCAACAACTCAGCTGTAGAGGTTGTTATCAGCACCAAATTCCTGGGAGTGCACATCACAGACAACCTCACCTGGACTGTAAACACCACCTCACTGGTCACTGGTTTTCAGCTTAGACGTTGATTCCCTATTTCAATTGGTAACACAAAAGTGAACATTTTGTATGCATTGGAAACAAATAGAATAGAATATCCCTTTACTGTCCCTCAATGGGGAAATTGTGATATTACAGCACTGAAAGGTTATAGGAGAAATAGCAACACAATGTGGACCTTTGAAAAGTGTGTAAAAAAAACTGATAAGAAAATAAAACAAATAAAGTGTTGTATTGTACAGCGTTTTTACAATATAAATACTGTGTATCTTGATTTAAGTCCAAACAATCAAGACAAAGGAGTAAAAGACCTTATTTGTGTCTTTTCCACTGTTTTATCACTTATGTCTCTTACCACACATCAATGAATTTGCTTTATTCTCTAATCTTTTTGTCCATGTTTACCCTTTAGGGGGCTATGGAGCAAAACCTGGGGTTGGAAAAGTTCCCTACGGTAATAGTATATTTTAAACACCATTGATGTTACAGTAGATGAAAACTGGCCATTAGTAATTGCTCGCGAAACAATCAACAATCTATATTCTAGGTTATGGCGGTTATGGTCAGGGTGGAGCTGGACTTCCAGGAGGAGGAGCTGGTGTTGGTTACCCTGTTGGAACTGGTGAGTATTTAAAAAAGTAATGGAAAAATTATTTCAAAGGTGGAAATCAGTAAAAGAAATTAAAGAAATTTCTGTTTTTGGCAGGAGTGGGGACCGGGGGTGTCTCACCTTTTCAGTCTAAAGCAGCTAAATATGGTAGATTTTTTTTTACTATTAGTGGTTGAAATTTTTCTAGCGTTTAAAGAAAATAAAAGACAATAAAGACTGCAAGAGGGACTGGTGTATTTGCTTGCTTTTTCAGGTGCTGGTGTCGGTGGTGTTGGTGGTTTGGGTGGTGTTGGTGGTGTTGGTGGTGTTGGAGGTGTCGGTGGTGTAGGTGGTGTCGGCGGTGTCGGTGGCACTGGTGGGCTGTATCCAGGCCAGGTTCAAGGAGGTATCAACAACTTTCTACTCTCAATATGTTCATGATTTAAGTAAGGGTAAATATTAGAAAATGACCTTGTAGCAATGAGAATTCGAATAGTAGATAACAAAACCAAACTTAAGGTTTTATGCAAATGTGTACCGGTGTGTGGTCCTGTTACTGTGCCCCCGAGTGATCATGCACCTTGGCCACCTGGCCAGGGGATATCCCTTTGGCTGACTGGTCACTATATGAATATCATCTGGGAATCTGGGGATCGGATTCTCTGTTGTGTACCTTGCGACATATGCAACTTTATACCTCTTTCTCCGCTGATGAAGATTTGCTTACTTCAGCATGCTGACTACTTGAAGTGGCTAATTCTAAATATTTCAGTTCATGTTTATATCTTTGAGCACTGGGGGTCAAAGAGCCTCATTACAACAGCTGAAGATTTCCCTGCTGTTTAAAACTATACCTGGGCTATCTAATTGGATGAGTTTTACCGTAATTGTTAGTAAAGGTCAAACTGACAAGATTTTCTTTTTATGTCTTTCAGTGTTGTTTAATTCTTGAATTATTTGTTGTTTTCTAATGTTTTATCAACAGGATACGGACCTGGGTCCAAGGCTGCTAAATATGGTAAGAACCTTCAACTGTATTTGAAAAAAAAACATAATTAAATATATTTACTTTACTTAGGATGTATAATTTGATACATTAGCAAAAAGTATGTTTAATTGATCAAATTATAAATGCATGAATTGCAGAAATGTTAAATCACACGTTTCTTCTGCTATTTTATGGATAACTAATGATTATTAGCAGGGCCTTTGAATTGATAAAGGCTCACAAGAAAATAGATTAATATTCTTAAAGAAATCTGAATGCTGTTGAGAACATAAAGGCATTAAACAAAAAAAATAACTTTGCAGGAATTTGAAAGATTAGAAAGGAACAAAAGCAAAAATAGGAGGAGAAATACTCCATATCCCCTTTTGCCTGAAGCAGATTTGACATTCTTATTTCAGGTACAGATCACAAAGGACTTAGCGTAGTTTCTGTCGCAGTGCATTAGATGGCTGTTAGGTGAAAAAAGATTCTTCTATTTTTTTCTAATCCAATTCTTTTCATTTCAGTGAAAGACTAAAAAAGTAAACAACAACAAAAAAATCGATACGATTTTGTTATAAGTAGAACGTTAACACTTTTCGCAACCTTTCTAAAAAGGAACAAACAAGCATAAATTCTTTTCATAAGGTTACCGAGTTCTACAATTTTAAAGTCAGATCATTTCCTTTAAATCTTCTTGAAATGTGTCTAAATACCTGAGTTGTTGCTTCCTGGATGGGAAGCGAAACATCTTCAGACTTGGAAAGAAAAGTCCAGTGGATTGTTTTTTATTTTATTTTCTTATTCCTGATTTGTTGTAACAGCTTCTAAATCAGGGATGTCAGAATCCAGTCCTTGAGGACCAGTGTCCAGCAGCTAGATGCATCTATTTTGTAACACACATGAATCAAACTGTTAGGTCCTTTGCAGAGCTCTGGAGAACTTAAGTAAACTGAGGAAGACATTTGGCCATTTGATTAGGGTGTGTTGAACCAGGAAACTCTCTTAAAGTTTCAGGCTACCAGCCCTCGAGGACTTGAGTTTGAAATCCCTGCTCTATTGTACATCATAAGCAATGAATTACCATGGATTATTATCAGTAGACACAACAAGTAAAATACAATATTATTTTCTGCTCAGTTTTATGCTCTGATTTAGGCTTTCTGTAAAGTTGTAATGTCTCAGAATGTAGGACCCAGAATTCAAGAAGAGACTTGAACTTCACCAAGCATAGTGTTTGCTGTGGATTCTATTGGGCTGCCTAACCCTACCATATCTTAGCTCCACCTGTCTAAATCAGACACACAGGGTCCCACCTTTTTCATTTTTGGCTTAAATGCCCAGTTGAAAATAAATGAGCCAGCAAGCCCCAGGTTACACACCTTGGGAAATTAAGCAATTTGAGGCATGCAGAGTTCAAGGTAACAACTATTTATATCAGATATTTTAAGAAACACATAATATTTTTGTTCTATATACAGAGAAGAATATCCTAAACTTGTAAGTTAAACTCATGCACGCAGACACACACACATCCGTGTTTTCATTACAAAATAAGAGCCACGCATACTCTAATTGACTTCCATTCATTTTCTACCCTTTCTACTGCCTAACCTTGGCATTTACCCTTAACCTAACCAATACTGGAACATATGCCACCCTAACTTTAACCCTAAGCCTAAATCTCACCTTAGTCCTAAACCTAAGCCAACAAAGGACCAGTAAAAGGTCTTTCATTTAGATCAAAGCTACTATTAAAAACACAGAAAATGTCCTTTCTTTGCTGCCATTAAAAGTACACAAAGACCTTTAGAAATTAGAATTTGAACAAGAATAGTGTGGATGGCCAATGGGTAAAGTCAGATGGAGAGTTTCAGACAAAACAGCGCTTTTTTAGGAAGCCGGCCAGCACAGGGAGCCACTGAGAACTCAATTGGGGTCTGCTCTAACCCTTTACTGCCACAACTATTTTAATTTAGTTTAGTTTATCTGTATAGCTACAATCCATAACACATGTAATCTGAAATTATATATATTTATATATAATGATAATATTTCTGACTGTCTGATTGGATACAAGGGGTACCGGGAGGAGTACCAGGAGGAGTACCGGGAGGAGTACCGGGAGGAGTACCGGGAGGAGTACCGGGAGGGGTACCGGGAGGAGTACCAGGAGGAGTACCAGGAGGCGCCCCAATTAGTGTACCAGGAAAAGCTGCTAAATATGGTAAGTTGACACATAATATCCCAGTTTTAGGAGAATAAAATTTCTATTTTGTAGTAAGAGAAGATGGTTTGTTGTTGTGTGAAAGAGATGGAGACAAGAGAAATTTTAAAGCTGAGGAATCTTTAGGTATCGGGAGTGGATTAGTGTAAGAACTGGGAGTCAAAGAACCAATCAGTATAAAAGTGAAAAGTCTTAGGTTTGAATCCTAATATCTCACTCTTTGAACTTTCCAGGAACTATTAGAACCTAACACAGTAATAACCAAATTTGGATCTTATAGCTTTGCTCTAATCGAGTAGTACAACATAGTGTGCTGATTTTCTGTTTGTAGGCACAGATCCCATATCCTTATGCATGAAGTAGAACATCTGTAACATCTGTTAAACGGAAACGTGTGCTGCTTGTATTCCTCTGCTGATTAAAGATTAGGTCTGAAACCGTTTTCCGTTGATTCTTCTCTCTTCATTTTTTTTTTTTCTCGGAAGTCTTTCTCAGTGTTGCTTTTTCGGTTTGCTGAACATGAAGTAGCTCTCTTTAATCAGAGAGAGCACACTATTATTACCAGAAAATGACTCTGTGGGCTTTTTAAGTTTTCAGACCGTCAACTGTTAATTTAGCCTTTCTTCACTCATTGATGGATTTGTTTTGCTTTTAAGAGTTTAAAGACAAACTGTTTCTTTTGGCTCAGAGTGTATCTCTGACTGAATGTTGCACCAGAAAAATAAGCATCTGCAGAGCCTCTGCTTTCTTATCTCATGAGGGATAATCAATAAATAGCTCACAGCTGAACTTCAGTCACTTTTTAGGGTTTTTTAGGATGGTTTAACCAATTAGTTGTTGATTATTCATACATCCTCCTGCAGTTTGGATGTGAGTGAGTAGATACTCTACCAGCGTCAGGAAGTAATTTTGAACAGGGGGTGTTATTTTATTTATTTTTTTTGGACAAAAGACCTATAAGCCTATAGTTCTTTTTAAAATACAATGAATAAAAATCACTAAATAGCCTAAGATTCATTACTTTATTGTCACATACACTTCAGTGCACGCAACCAGGGTCTGTAACACACAGATATCATCCGTTCTCACTATTAATTATACTTCACAATAACACTATAACAACGTAGATTTGGTCGGCTGGCATTAACCTGAGTCACTGTGTTTATGTCACACGTGATTCTATTAGCTCCAAAATCCTTTTACACGAACCACAGGAAAATAATTATATCATTACTCTATTCAAAGGTTATTGAACAGTTTTCCAAATTCATTACACAGAGAACACAGGATATAAAAAATAGATCAAAGATCAAAATAACACTCTCTAAAATTCTATGGTTACATTAAACTGCATGAATAGATGTGAAAGTGTGCAGCGGCACCATGCTCTTACTTTGAACTACAGCAGGGTGCCTTTTTCATTTAGTGCGGGAATAATAACTAACGCAGTCAGATAAACACAAAACAACCTTGGAGGTCCGCTGGTTGCCACTGTCCTCTCAACATCTGAATTTCTTTAAATTATGCACTAAATCAGTAATTGGCTACATAGTGGAGCTTAAAAGTATAATGTTCTTGCCTCAAATGATCTTAAATTATTCTTATATAGAACAACGGCAACAGAAAAGAGAACTTTTAACTTAACTCTCTGAGCTCTGTGAGCGCTCCACTGGAAGCTGCTGCTGCAGCAGTGCATGCTGGGACAGCTGGCAATCTCAAGAACGGACAAGTCTGCTCTAATGCATCCTCTGTAAAGAGGGAAGGGGAGAACAATATTAAGGTACTTTGTCCGTTCTCTGTCTTGTGTTCTTGTGAATTGGGCTGAGGCTGATGACGTTTCACGAGTACACAAGCACATGAGAATGCACAGTAGACATTTTGAGAAACTGCCTATGTAAATACCTCTTTACTGAGAGACCATTAGCTTGCTTGGCGTTGCCATGACAACGTAACTTCCATGAAACTGTGTTACTTTGGCCTCAAAATATTGTAATAGTGACAACCTGGAAAGAAACATCAGCCGTGCTGCTTCTATCAATACCCTTGTTTATTGATGCTGGAGATCGGCCTGTTTTCCAGTGTGGTCCTGTTTCTCTGACCGTGACTGAGTGGATGTGCTCTCTTCATCCTCTGACATGGGAGCTGGCTCGGAGCTCGTCTGCCTGGCTGTGTGTTTCCTGGACGGGGCCGCCTTTTACAGCTGCTTTTTGTGTCTCTGCTTCTGTCTCCTTGAACCCCAGTCGGCCTCGGCAGATGGCCGCTCACACTGAGCCTGGTTCTGCTGGAGGTTTCTTCCTGTTAAAAGGGAGTTTTTCCTCTCCACTGTCGCTACAAGCATGCTTAGTGTGAGGGATTGTATTTGAGTCAATAAGTTAATGCAATCAACTGGTATTCCTTAGTGTGACGGGGTTCTATTATGACTTGGTCAAACACATAAATGACTGGCCAATGCCGGAGATAAGTTTAGTGATTGTTTTTTATTCAGTGATCTTTTCTTCTGGTGAACAAAGACGGTTGGTGCAAAAATATTTACATGGACATCCAAGGCAGGTTAAAATCAGAAAAAGAGCAGTACCTTCAAAAAATCAGAATCCATCACCTTCAGTGTGACATCTCAGGAGTCCAGCCACAGACTGACTCCCTGTGGAAAAGAGGCCTGCTTTTAAAGCTATAGGCTCCACCCACAGAAAAAAAAAAAATAAAAATAAAATAAAAACTAAACAATTACTTCTAATTCACTAAGTAAACAAAAATAATGATTTTGATAATGATGACAATAATAATAACACCATGCTAAAGAGAGAGAAAAAATAAAAATAAACTTGTAATCAAAAATACAATACTCAATTTAATACAACACACTCTGTACGTTCTGATGACATCACTACGTCATCACGTGACTCCCTCCCGGCGCGCTACAATCCGGAAATAAACCTGTTTGAAAATAGATGCAGAAAATATACTTGGCTGAAAATAAGCAGGTTAGAATAAATGTTAAATGAAAACCGGACCATCGCGTGTGCACCCACGATAAACGGCGCCAGCCCAACCTGCAACAAAAGTAAGTGATTGCGTACGTGTATGTATGCGTGTGTGTGTGTGTATGTTTGTGCGCATGCTGACACTGACTTATTCCTAAGTCCCAGCTGATGACGGCTCCTCCGTCACACCACCCGTCTCCTCTCCAAGGTTGGCGAAACTCGGCAACCTAGAAAGAAAGTCTGCCACTTTATTAAGTCTGCCACTTCTATGACAGATGTTAAATTTGTAAGGTTGCAAGGACAAATACCACCTAGTTAGACGATGGTTACTATCCTTCATGGTGTTGATCCAGGTTAGGGCACGATGGTCTGTCTCCAAATCAAATTCTCTGCCCAGAAGATAATACTTGAGACTTTCCAGAGCCCACTTAATGGCCAGTCCTTCTTTTTCCACCACAGAGTATCTCACCTCCCGAGGTAGCAGCTTGCGACTCAGGTAGAGTATGGGTTGCTCCTCTCCAGGATCTCCTTGAGCCAAAACAGCTCCTAAACCAACTGTGGATGCATCTACTTGGACCAGAAATTTCCTGCTGAAATCAGGACTTCGGAGGACAGCAGATGAACATAGATGAGCTTTCAGAGCGTTAAAGGAGTCTTCACACTCCTTGGACCACACAACAGGATTCTTCTGGTCTTTAGCTGTCAAACTGGTGAGTGGAGAAGCAAGTGTAGCAAAATGAGGCACAAACCTTCGATACCAACCAGCTAGCCCCAAGAATGATCGCACTTCCTTCTTGGTTCGAGGGCGGGGGCACTTTTGGATTGCTTCAACTTTGTCCATCTGTGGTCGCACCTCTCCTCTCCCCAGCTGGTAACCCAGGTATCTGGTTTCCTGTTGTGCCCAAACACACTTTGATATGTTAAGTGTCAACCCTGCTCCTGCAATCTTTTCCAACAGTCTTGCTAGATGTGACACATGCTCCTCCCAGCTATTGCTGTAAATGACTACATCATCAAGGTAAGCAGCACTGTAGTCTTCACTTCCTTGCAGCACTTTGTCCATTAGCCGTTGGAAGGTGGCTGGAGCACCATGGAGGCCAAACGGCATAACCGTAAACTGAAAAAGACCAGAAGGAGTACGGAATGCTGTGTACTGTCTGCTTGAAGGCTCCAATGGAACCTGCCAATACCCTTTACACAGGTCAAGGGTGGTAATGAACTTTGCTTGTCCAATCCTTTCCAGCAGCTCATCTACCCTGGGCATGGGATAGGCATCAAACTCTGACACTGCATTAAGCTTTCTGAAATCAATACAAATCCTTAGTGAGCCATCTTTCTTGCACACAATGACCACTGGACTGCACCACTCAGAGTTTGAAGGTTCAATGATACCTGATTTTAGCATGGTCTTGACTTCATCTTGCAGCTGTCCCACCAACTGCTGTGGAACTCTATATGGCCGCTGACGAATTGGCTGCTTCTCTTTTAGTCGAATTGCATGCTCAATCAAAGTGGTCCGACCTGGATTAGGAGAAAAGAGAGGAGACAGTTTCTGGAAGATCTGCTGAAGTTGTGAGGCTTGGTGTGGGGTTAAGTGTCTGAGATCAGGGGTTGACTGTTCATTCATGACTTCAATGCCAGGAACCTCTTCTTCCTCCTCCATTGGCCTCAGCAGGCATGATGTTTCTGGAGCTGGATGTGATGGTTCTTTCCACTCCTTTAGCAAGTTCACATGATAAGCCTGTGTAGCTTTCTTTTTGTCAGGGTGGTAGACTTCATAGGTAGTAGGTCCCAGCTGTCGGCTGATGGTATAGGGTCCTTGCCACTTTGCCAAAAGCTTGCTGGTGGATGAAGGCAGGAGAAGCAACACCTTCTGTCCAGGACTTAACACTCTTTGTCGGGCCTGCTGGTCATACCACAGCTTTTGCTTCTGCTGAGCTCGAAGCAGGCTCTTCTCAGCCTCTTCCTGGTAGTCAGCAAGCCGACTTCTCATCTGCAGCACGTACTGGACTACACCTTTGGCACTGGATGGGGTCTCTGATACATCCCAGCTTTTCTTCAGCAGGTCTAACGGTCCTTGAACATCCCACCCATACAGGAGTTCAAATGGGGAGAATCCAGTTGATGCTTGCGGCACCTCACGATAGGCGAAGAGAAGGAACGGTAACCAGCGGTCCCAATCTCTGCCAGTGTCATTCACAAACTTCTGCAGCATCCTCTTCAGCGTCTGGTTGAACCTTTCGACCAGTCCATCAGTTTGTGGATGGTAAGGAGTTGTCCTGATGGCAGAGATCCCAAGCTGTTTGTGAAAGAGTTTTAGCAGATTAGAAGTGAAGTTAGTTCCCTGGTCTGTCAAAATCTGATCTGGGATTCCAACTCTTGAAAATAGCTGGACCAGAGCTCGAACCACCACAGGAGCAGTAACAGTATGCAGTGGAAAAGCCTCTGGAAATCTGGTGGCATAATCACATACTACCAGGATGTACTGATGGCCACGCCCACTCTTCACTAGGGGTCCAACAATGTCCATTGCAACCTTACGGAAAGGAGTGGAGATGACAGGTAGTGGCTGGAGGAGCGCCCGATCTGATTTACGAGCAGGACGAGTCTTCTGACATATAGGACAAGAAGCACATAATGCATTAATGTCATTGTACATTGATGGCCAAAAAAATCGTGAGCTGACTCGCATAAATGTTTTGTGACGCCCCAAGTGCCCTGCCCATGGAATGGTGTGCGCCAAATGCATGACAAGTGCTCTACAGCTAGTTGGAACTACCAACCGTTGCTTTTCATTACAAGCATATAACACACCATCTTTTAACACAAAAGTTTCTTTTCCCCTCCACTTAGCATCAGTTTTTTCTCCCACTCGTTCAAACAAAGGTTGTAAAGACACATCCTGTTTCTGTAAAGTAGCAATATTTTCAGGTATTTTCCAAATGTCATCCACTAATAAATCTGTTGACACATTTCCACTCAGCATTAACTTTTTCTCAAATTTTTTTTGCTTTCTGGATTTTCTAGTGTTCTTTGAAACCTCAAACAAGCTCTCATCAAAGTCAGGTAAGGATTCAACTTGTTCTTTGGCCTGAGAGCGAGTAACCACAGGACAGGAAACATTGCCAACTCCGCCCACGCCAGTTTGTATCTCTTCCAAAAGATGAAACAGCACAGGTAAATCAGTACCTAAAATAATGTCAAAAGGTAGATTTTCCACCACACCAACAGTTAGCAAATAAGGTTGATCATCAATAATGACAGTCACTTCGGCTTTTGGATAAACATGACAATCTCCATGCACACACAAAATCTGAGTTTTCTTTTCATAATTCACACAACCAACAGGTACAAAACTTTTTTTAACCAGTGATGTAGAACTACCACTGTCAATTAATGCAGTCACCTGCTGTCCATTCACAGTCACAGTTTTATGAGTTCTAGTTTCAAAGTTTTTGACTCCAGCCGGTTTTTCCACTCTGGGAGCATAACAGGAGCCAGTAAACTTAGTCTTCTTTAACGGGCACACCGAAGCCTTGTGGCCCAGCTGCTGACAGTAATAGCAAATCAATGTCTTACCATGAGATGGTGGATTGAGAGAACCGCTGGTACCTCTGACCTCCTGGCCTTGGTCTCTGGCATACCGTTGATGTCCAGTCTGTTGAACCGGTCGCAGTACAGGTTTGGAGAAACGTGTGGCTCCTCCTTGTCGTGCATTCATGTACTGTAGAGCCAACTTTGCAGCAGTCAGACCATCCTTCGGTTCATGTTCCTTCACCCAGGTCCGTACATCAGAGGGCAGAACACTTAACAGTTGTTCCTGGATGATGAGCTCCCCGACGTCCTCCTTTGAATGCTGGTCCGGACGAATCCACCGTCGGTAGAGGCCTCTAAGGCGGTGATAGGTTTCAGTAGGAGTTTCACCAGCAGGTACACTTGCTGCTCTGAACTTCAGTCTGTACGTCTCAGGTGAGATGTCAAACTTTGCTAACAAAGCAGCCTTCAAGTCTTTGTAGCAGTGAGCACGTTCCTCATCCATGGCCGCATAGGCCTCCAGCGCCTTCCCAGAAAGGAGTGGAATGAGACGGCAGGCCCATTCACTCTGTGGCCACCTCCAGGTCTTGGCAATGCGCTCAAACCGCAGCAGATAGTTTTCAAGGTCTTCTCCTAACTGATAAGGAGGAATATTTGGATCAGTGGTGTAACTTACTGACTGAGGTTTATGGCTGTGATAACTGCCGTCGTCATCATCATCATCATCACCACCATTATCATCGTCGTTGTCATCATTTTGTTCTGCGCCACCTCCTGACTGAATGTGAAGACGTGGTACTTGTTGTGGTTGCTGCAGGGACATCCTAAGATTTCGCAGTTCCTTTAGCAGTCCTTTCTCTCGCTTTTGCACACCTGCCATAAAGTCCTTCATCAAAGTGAGAAACTCACGGCCAGATGCACTTGGTCCAGTGGGGTCAGGCTTTGGTCCACCATCCTCATCTGACACATCCGTCGTTGGCATACTCTCCCATGCTCTGTCAGCCACCTCTTCTTCCATCTTTGATTGTGATCGAAGACCAGATCGTTGCTTCAATGGACGAGATCCTCTTCTCCGGCTCGCCATAATCCCACTTCTGACACCATATGTGACGGGGTTCTATTATGACTTGGTCAAACACATAAATGACTGGCCAATGCCGGAGATAAGTTTAGTGATTGTTTTTTATTCAGTGATCTTTTCTTCTGGTGAACAAAGACGGTTGGTGCAAAAATATTTACATGGACATCCAAGGCAGGTTAAAATCAGAAAAAGAGCAGTACCTTCAAAAAATCAGAATCCATCACCTTCAGTGTGACATCTCAGGAGTCCAGCCACAGACTGACTCCCTGTGGAAAAGAGGCCTGCTTTTAAAGCTATAGGCTCCACCCACAGAAAAAAAAAAATAAAAATAAAATAAAAACTAAACAATTACTTCTAATTCACTAAGTAAACAAAAATAATGATTTTGATAATGATGACAATAATAATAACACCATGCTAAAGAGAGAGAAAAAATAAAAATAAACTTGTAATCAAAAATACAATACTCAATTTAATACAACACACTCTGTACGTTCTGATGACATCACTACGTCATCACGTGACTCCCTCCCGGCGCGCTACAATCCGGAAATAAACCTGTTTGAAAATAGATGCAGAAAATATACTTGGCTGAAAATAAGCAGGTTAGAATAAATGTTAAATGAAAACCGGACCATCGCGTGTGCACCCACGATAAACGGCGCCAGCCCAACCTGCAACAAAAGTAAGTGATTGCGTACGTGTATGTATGCGTGTGTGTGTGTGTATGTTTGTGCGCATGCTGACACTGACTTATTCCTAAGTCCCAGCTGATGACGGCTCCTCCGTCACACTTAGATAGAAAATTTTGTATCAATTTGATTGTATGATCTGGTTGAACTGTAAAGTGCCTTGAGATCACATGTGTTGTGAATTTGGCGCTATATAAATAAACTGAATTTAATTGAATTGAATTTAAATAAACTAAAAAATAATTTCCCAAAATATTCACAAGAAATGTATACATTGTGTGAAATATTTTTAATACATTTTGTACAAAACCTCTCGCCACTATAGGGTGCCGCAGCCCCCTCAGCACCTCCACTTCCCGTGGCCATGATCAGCATTGTTCTTTTTAGCATCTTTGGGTGCAACTCAGTAAAGGGCAACTTCTGCTTCTTTTATATCTTAGTTTACATTACAGAATTAAAGCTGCTTCTTTGAACATTTCTTAAATGCTTATTAATTACTATTACTTTTTAAGGTTATTATTAAAATAATTTCATTATTTCTTCTCAATGCAGTTAGAATTGTGGAGCACTAAAGAGATTTAATCTAAATCTCTTTAGATTAAATTGAAATTCCTTGCTGAAGATCAACACAGCAATCATTCTAGCAGCTCCAAAAAAAACTTAGCAGCAAATTATAACTCCTGTACTTCAGAGTCGTAACAGTGTTTAGTATTTTTTCCATGTTAGACTGATAATAATGGTGGTGAGTCCAGGGGTTTTGGTCACTGCTGATACAGTGGATGTTACTTTGATATTACGATACCTATGAAAATAACAATTTCTCCAGCAGAGTTCTTAAAGACTATTCCTACAATGAGAAGCGCACATAAACAGTCTGGTTGCTTTTAGAGACTTCTTAAAAAAATATCCTTATGCCCTATCAAAGCTAATGCATGATGTGGAAGAGTCATTTAGGGGATATAGCAAGATGAAAAAAGGCCAGTTTGGTAAACTTGGATCACAAAATTAGACTTAATAGAGAAGGGAAGCGATCCAAAAGCCACAAGCTTGAAATCTCTAAATGTCTCCAGACCCAAAGGAGAGAACTTCTCATTGGCTTATCAACAGAGCCATTTTTAACATTACATTCTTGGCAAATGGTCAACATCCTATCATCCAGCCATCAGTAAAGATGTACTGGAAGTGCTTTAAAGAAAGATATTATTTTACAAAGCCACTTTTAGCTCAGCAGTGGAGTGGCTGTCCAAATTCAAATAAACGGCCTTCAGCCCCGTGGGCCTCAGTACATTCTGTAGATGAGAAAAAGATTCAGGTGAAACGTAATAACACCTGTGTGGGTCAGTTAGAGTTTATTTTGACTTAAAATGTTTGATATCAGTGATCAAATGTGTTAATAAATACATTTCCTTTCAGGAGTAGGAGGGCAGGGAGCAGGAGGATACTCCCCAGCATCTAAAGCCGCTAAGTATGGTAAGCGAAACAAGATCAAATAAAACCATGACTTTAAAATATGATTAACATCACTCCATTTTTTTAGGTCTTGTCCCAAGAGGTGGAGGAGGAGGGGGAGTAGGAGGAGGAGGAGTAGGAGGAGGAGGAGTAGGAGGAGGAGTAGGAGTAGGAGGTGGTGGGATCCCAGGGACACAGTATATACCAGGATATGGATGTAAGCTCCTTTGACAGATTTTTTTAACTTGACTGGCTGTAAAGTAAATCTATAATAAGAGAATTAGAGAATCTCAGATTATCTTTTCAACCAGCCATCTTTGTTCTGTTTTTGTTGCAGCTCTGGCAACTGGAGTCAAACCTCCTAAATACGGTGAGACTTTTATTCTTACGATCTCAGTTTATTCAAATCTTACATTAAAAGCATCCAGAAATTGTATTGGTGCACCAAATATGGAGATAAAAAAATAGTGTAACTGCTACCATTAACAGCTCTTCAAACAGGCCTTGGAGGGGGTGCAGTCCCTGGTGGCGGAGGGCAGGTACTACCAGGAGGAGGCTATGGTGGTAAGATAGTAGAATTTATTCAAAGAAAATAAGTCAATTGATTTATAGTCTTAATAAACTTAATAAACATCTTTGCAGGTTACGGAGGAGGTGCAGGGGTCAAACCTCCAAAGTATGGTAAGGTATTCAGTTTTCTCTTTTTAAGAAAATCATAAATATTTTCTTATCAGATATCTTTCTTACCAAATGAATCCATATTTTTCCCCTGCTCTGCAGCTTTTTAAAGCTTGATAATTATTTTGAAATTAGGAAAAGCTAGAGAGGGTTTGAATAGTGAGAGACCATCCATAAAAAAGAAAATTGACTGGAACTGTTGTTTAAGTGGCAAAATATTTTATCTCATGTAAAAAGTATAGTATGTTCTTGTGTGCAACATGAAATGCACCACTGCATCTCTTTCAACAAGCCAACTTATTGATTTGCTGTGGAACAATTTAAACCTATTTTTTTTGTTGCTCTACAATAGGAGGACAAGGAGGAATAGGGACTGGGTTTGGATATGCAGGACTGGGAGGAACCGGAGGAGGGCCTTTCTTTCCAGGAGGAGGACAATATTCAGCTGCTGCAAAAGCTGCCAAATATGGTAGAAATAATCATTTTAATAGATATTTCAATTAAATAAGCAAAATATTTTATCTAATCTTAAATGCTTACTGTATATTATTCTCATGACTGTAAGCTTATAGAAATTTGGGCTTGTTTCCATAAACTAGGAGTTGCAACAGGAGGAGGTGGAACAGGAACTGGAGGAACATTTGGAGGACAAGGAGTTGGGCAATATCCTGCAGCTGCTAAGGCGGCTAAATACGGTAGATACAGTCACACATCAAGAAAGTACACCCCCTAAGATATCTCCTGTACATATCAGTGTTTTTTTTACATGTACGTATTGTTTCACCAGTCAATACTTGATATCTGAATAATTTTATAAATGTCTGGCAATGTGGCAATAAGAATAATTGTTTTGATGCCAAAAACAGGGCCCAGATTTTGCTTTCACAAGTGGAGCAGTAGGGCTGTCGCCATAGTGTTCTGCTTGATTTATGCATATAAATAGCTTTATAATGATTATGCAGGGAGTATTACAGATTATATGGACACTGCAATGTAAGTAGAATGGGAAAGGAAAAACAGGAAAAAGGAGAAAAGATGAAAGAAAGAAGAGATGAAAGGGAGACAATGATAAAACGTCTTCAGTCTTCTTCATTACCTGCAAGGAGAGATGTAAAAGAACGGCACAACCAACAAATTTAGTATAAGAGCATCATTCAGTTGAAATTTATACTATGGTAGCTGAAGATAAACATATGGGCTCTCTGTATGGAAGTGAATCTCCAAGTACCTGGAACCAAGCACCTGCCACAGCAAAAGTTGCCATATATGGTAGAAATAATCATTTCTAATAGATATTTTAATAGAGTATTTTATCTAATCTCAAATGCTTACATATTATTTTCATGACTGTAAGCCTATAAGGCATTTTGGCTTGTTTCTATGAACTAGGAGTTGCAACAGGAGGAGTTGGAACAGGAACTGGAGGAACATTCGGAGGACAAGGAGTTGGGCAATATCCTGCAGCTGCTAAGGCGGCTAAATACGGTAGATACAGTCACACATCAAGAAAATACACCCCCTAAGATATTTCCTGTACATATCAGTGTTTTTTTAGATGTACTTATTGTTTCACCAGTGAATACTTAATATGTGAAAAAGTTTATAAATGACAGTACTGCATAGCTGAAAGTAAAAGGATTTTTTTTTAATTATCACAAAAAATCTGAAATGCGTGGCTTACACTTGTATTTACCCCTGGTTAACTCTAAATAAAACCTATTTAATCAAATGCCTTTAGACAGCCAATTCATAAGCTGAATTGATTTTTGATTTTCCTCTCATCATGAATGCAGCTGTTCTGTGAAAGCTTTAGAGGCTTTTTTGGAGAAGATTAGTGAGCAAACAGCATCACGAAGACCAAAGAACAACCTGGTTATGTTGGAGAGCTCTGATCAATCCATTGTCTGAAAATGGAAGTTGTATGGCACATCTGTAAACCTAAAAGGAGAGATTATTTTTAAAATTTAGCAAACAGGTTTGACAGAAGTACCCAGCTTAGATGGGATAAGCTCTCTACTTGGGAACTTTCAGATATATAAAAAAAAAATATTGTCTCTTTGAAGAGTGGCAAGAAAATATCTATAATTTAGAAAAAGCGAAAAGCCTCATATGTAGCATTCCAAATAGCTGCATAGGGGAAAACTGTGGAGGAAGGTTGGCTGGTTATTTACTGTGACCAAAACTGAATGTTCTACAAGCACCATTCTGGTTGGGAGTGGTGACAGCACCATGCTACGGGGAGGATTTTCTTTAGAAGATGGTCAGAATAGGTGAGGCAAACCTTAGAAACTGGTGTTCACATTTGCTCTGAATCCAAGCTGAAAGACTTTGAACTATTTCATAAACTGGACAGAGCAAAAAAATTGACTCAAAAAAGCACAACCATAATAACTATGAAAGGCTGTTCTGCAGCAGGGACTGACTACACTCCACTTCAAAAATACACAGTTTTGTCTTTTATTTTCAGTATTTTTGCTGTAGTACCTAATTGCAATTAATTTAGCTGTTTTTATTCTTCTCAACCAGGAGTTGCAGGTGGTGCTGGTACAGGACTGGGACCAGGAGGAGTAGGAGGAGTAGGAGTCTTACCAGGAGGTGGACAATACTCTCCTGCTGCTAAAGCTGCTAAAAAAGGTACAGCTAAACAGCATGTAAACAGAGATTTGAATGAAACTCAATATCAGCTTTGATTTTTAATTGTGTTTTAAAAAGACTTTAGAAAGATGAGAACAAAGTCGTGTTCATTTGCATATCTCATTTATTGTCTTTCATCAGGCATCCCGACAGGAGTCGGACCAGGAGGAGTTCCATCAGGTAAAATCACGATTACTTTTCCAATAAGTTGAGTTTGTCTCTATACCAAAAATACATGTATTATTTGTGATACCTAAGATTTTTAGACCATAAACTCTTTTACCACAGAACAGTGCACAATGGTGTCGAACCATGATAATGATTATATTTTACAAAACACTTTCTGTCAAAAGTTTAAAGACAAAGCATTTCGATCCAATTCTGACTTAGAATTTAAAATTGATTAGAGATAGTTATACAACCAAAGATTTAAAAGTGAATCACGAGAGCTGAACACTACTTATGCTATCTCTACTTACTTACTTATCTACATATAGCAAAGGAAAAATACTAATGTTCACATATAACTAAGCCAATTATTTATAAAGGTGACCTGATAGGATTTTCTCAACTTCAGAGGATTAATGTGAGTGTTAGCTGTTGAAATAAAAACAAATCTTAAAATTCTCAGAATTTTGAGAAAACTTGTTTTTTTTATTTCCACAGTGGCCCTCATCCTCTTCCATACGTCACCGGTTAACAACTTATAATTGATTCAGAGCCTCTTTCTATCTAAAGCCCAAAGAAATTGGTTTTGCTGTAGATGTAAATCTAAATTAAAGCTTAAAAAGAACCAGACTTGGTTTATCAGCCTTTGGCACCAGACAACTGATGATATGGGGCCTTACCTGAGTCTGACTCAGCTTCATACTTTATTCCTTTCTCATAGAACCAGTTCACATCTCTTTAATTTTGTTTGCTCTGCAAGGCAGTTTTTTAAGTGACTACAGGAACTGAAACCATACAGCACAGGTGTGATAAAGAATCATTCAAAGATAGTTGAAAGTATCATAAAATATATATGTTTATATATAGTTGGGAAATCACGCTTCATGGATCCTTTAGGTCTTTTTTCAGTCTCTTAATTTCATCTAAGTATGGCAGTTTTCTCTTCCAGATGAAGAATTGTCTGGTTGGAGTATTCAACCAACGAGAGCTGTATCATATTAGACAGGCCCTAAAGTCATTTTTTGATAAACATTTTTTGTATAACTTAACAAGGTCAGGTGCTTCTTGTGTTTCTGCATTCATCTTTGTATTAATGTCGCTTAAAGCAGTAGAAATTTCTAAAATTATGTCTAATGTTCTACAAGAGCCTTTAGAGGGGCCCAGGAAAAAAGCAAGTAGATTAAAGTTCACAACTGAAAAAGAGCTGTCATCAAAATTAATTCAAGAGATTAATTATTACATATATCCCAAACTTATTACCCCTCAGAAATAGGCCTCCACACATAAATAATATCAGAGGAGGCAGAAAGTGTCATTTCTTGGTAACCTTTGTGCTTCATGCCGTAGGTGTTGGACCTATTGCAGTTCCAGAGACGTCTGTCAGCGGCGTTCCTAATGGCTCCCTATCCACCGGCGTTCCTGTGAAACCAGGTGATGCTTTTTATGGTTTGTGTTGTCAATGAAACTAACAGTTCATTAATCATGGAATCAGAGATTATCCTTCTGTGCTTTTACAGGGAAGGAAGTCGGCATCGGTGGAACTGCTCAGCCAGGTAGATTAACTCTGTAATCTCTCCCATGGGTAATAACTGCAGACGCTGTTTCCAATGATCCCTGCACTTATAACTCAAACATTGTTTACATTGCTAATGCTGCCAGCTAATGACCACCTCTAGCTCACAGGCTCCAGCTCTGGCAGTATTAAGGTCCACTTTACAGCTTCTACCTTGTCTGGCTTTTCTCGAACACTGGATGAATCTGGAACCTGTTGTCTCTTTGGCAGGGCCCACTCCTATGGCTGCACTTAATAAGGCGCCAGAGGTCCCACAGCCCAGTAAGACTTGCTGCTTGCCTAAAGTCTTTCACCATACTGTGGATATGGCACATTTATTTCTTAGTAGATTTTAAATGTTTCATCCAAGTCACCATATGTGAATAGAAACATTTTACAGATCTCTAATATAAAGCATGCACAAAATGACAACTATGGGAATGTAGAAAGAGGGTTTGCATTTGAAGTGAGATATTTGCTTTCACTGTATAAAAAAAGACAATCAGTGACTGATTGTCTTTTTTGATCAGAATGAACTATTTTCTCTTTTAAGTCAGTTTAGATCACTAAAATTATTTGTATTTGTTAAAAATTGTGCCAGAATAATGAGAAGGAGGCATTCAAAGTCAACATGTTACATCCACTATGATTAGGGCTGCTCCTGTTGATTGTTTTAGTAATCTGTTATTTTTTTCAATTAATCGTTTCATCTAAAGAGACACTTTTAGTAAATTAACATGAAAAAACCAATTGTAATAAAGCAAAATAGCCTTTGTTGCACATTTTAAATAAACTGCAAATGGTAAAACATGTGAAAAATATATAGTTAAACATATTCAATTATAAAAATATAAGAATAAAGAAACTGTTAAGTTTACCTTAGTCACTGCTATAAGTAGGTTACTCTTTCACCAGGTGGCATGTGTAAGAGTCTGTATGCTATTACTCCAGGTAACGATCCAATTCAGCGAGCAAATAAGTTAACAATAAGTAATCGATTAATAATGACTAATTTGGTTAATCGTTTCAGATTCCTACATCCTTTTTTTGTCTGGGAATTTATGTCCCATAGGTAGATGATAGCCCAACAGACTATTACGGCTGCTGCTATACGGTTCCGCTTGGTAATTATGAATGAGACTTTATTTAAAATAATTAAGGGAATAACATGTATACTACAAACAGGAAGACAGACAGAGAGGTGAGAAAGGAAGAAGGGATGAATACTAAGGGCAGATAGAAAGAGTTGAAGACAGTAAACAGGGAGGGGAGTAAAGAGAAAAAAAACAAAAAAAACAGCAAAATAAACAACAAAGAAGATTTATAATAAGTCCTGGAAGTCTTCTTCTGCACCTGCATGAGGTGAGAGGGAAAGAAAACAGAACAAAACAACAGAAAATAGATTACAACATCTTTTAACAATTTTAGATTGTGCAAATGATGATTGTAAGTTCCGCCTGAGTTAAAGAGAGTTGGACCAGAGAAGAGATTTTAATGCAGCTCCTAAAACACATGACTTCCTTGTGTGACATCAAAAGAAATCAATCAGTGTTAGAAAGAGGAGCTGGGATCTTCCCATTTTTATTTTACTAAAAATTTTAATTGCCCGAAGGCAAAGGTGGAAAGTAACAAAGTACATTTACTTGATTACTGTATTAAAGTACTTTTTTTTAGTATCTTTACTCTACCTAACCCTAACCCTAACCGCTGTAGCTGTTTTTCTTTTTTAAATGCATTTTCAACATGCACGATAGCAGCCCTTAGGACTGAATTTGTTGCAAAGTGGTTCTGCGCATCAATGCATGTGGTGGTTTTCGAAAGTTACAAGGCACAGAAATGTACTGATATTGGTAAGGTTAATTTGTACTTTTTGAATACTTAAGTACTTTTAAATGCATAAAGTTTTGAATACTTAAGTATTTTCAAAAATGAGTACTTTACTTAAGCTTGAGTACCGTAGATGTTTGATTGAGTAACTTTTATATGTAGTTGAGTAAGATTTAATTATGAGTATCAATACTTTTACTCAAGGACTACTGTTGAGTACTCTGTCCACCACTGCCTGAAGGTGCCACGTTCATCTGTTCTGCATATTCAACAATGAACAGCATAGGAATGTCCAGTTATCCTACCGTCCAGAGGGGAGAAGGGTTACGCATTCCAGAGAAACTGTAGTCTAAAAAAAGGCTAATTACCTCTAGAGCAAAGGCGGGAGACATTATAAAGACAGGTCAGAAGTTGGTAAGAGGACCGTTTCAGTGAAACAACAAGAGCTAAGTTACCACTAACTGAGTCTGAAATCTATACTCCAAAAAGAGAAAAAATAAAAAAAACAGATTTGGGTTTGCAAATGCTCCCAGGGACAAAGAACTTCACTTTCTAAGATAGTTCAATTTGAAAAAAGTAAAATTAAAGCTTTGAATATCTATTTTCACATTTAGAATCAAAAAGAGAAAACTTGTGAGCAGCATCCCAACTGTGAAGTGCAAAGGTGGCAGCATCATGACCGACTGGTCAGCACATATGTTTAAAAGAAGCCTCCACAAAGCCCTGATCTCAGTCACTCTGGGGAAAGAGCCTGAGAGGGTTTGACCGTTTTTATACATTTAGAAAGGCAAAAAAAGGCAACACAAAATAATCAAATCTATATATACTTTTATATAAATTCTCAAAAAACTTCCCTCTCTCATTTATTTATATTTTGTAGATAAGAAAAATCTTCTGACCTAAAGCAGAACAAACTTATTTATACAGTGTATGTAAATATCTGTTTTCAGATGCAATAAGGCACAGTTTACAGCAAAGACTTTCAATTTCTGAACATAACTGTTTTAATATGCATGTAAAAAGCACCTACAAGCATGTTTTTGTACTAACTTCTGTTAGTTAAAATAAGGCAGTTTTAGAATAAATGTGCTGTCAAATTACTTCTTTTAATAATTGTATAATTAAAAATTATTTTTTTTTTTTTGGATTAGTGACATCTAACTCTAACTTCAAATCTTTGAAAAGTGTCTGTTTCTGTTCAAAACCGACAATAGTTTATGCATGTATGTTATGTTATCCCAAAAAAAGATGTGTAAAAGTCCTCAAATTACCAATTATATCTAAATATGTAGCAGGATCCCATGCTAAGATTTTCAGAAAACTAGAATTAGAACATTTTCATAATTTTTATATAAATCCTGAATTGCAAAATCATTAACAACCCTACTAACTGTCACTCAGGTATAAATACAATGTTTTAATTAGGCATTTAGTTGGAGGAGAAGCAGAAAGATAAGGGAAGTTAAAGAAAAAGTCTTCTGAGATCACTGTTTGAGAATTGTAGCAAAATGTGGCATCTTTTAGATTTCATATCTTAATAACCAGCTTGAAGAAAGGTTGGGTGTTTGGATGTGATGCAATGAATTGCATTTTCTTCCCAGCATTAGGGAAGGTAAATGTTTTACAGTGCTTTGAATAGATCAGACTAAAACTTGGCATCATGTTTTTCTCCCACGCTCTTTACATTTGACCACTGCTGCACTTTATGAAATGGAAATGTTCCTTTTTACTGCTTAGCTGCTGCTTGACTGAACGCTGTATTAACAAAAGTTCATTTTGTATACAGACAATAAAAGTTGTCTACGTCTAACTGAGCCATTCAACACCAACTTTTAGGTTTCATCTGTTGTGAAGCAAAGAATGAATTAGTGGAAAAGTACCTTTCGACAGATAAGACTAATGTCTGCTGATGAAGTTTCTCAGTCATCCAGGTCATAGTAATTACAAAAAAAAAATTTTTTTAAATCCACTGGACTTTGTTTCCAAGTTTTAAGATGTTTCGCTTCCCATCCAGGAACCTTTTTCAAGTCAAAGTGAATTTTTCAATTTACTTTGAATTGAAAAAGCTGGAGAGAACAGAGGATTCAGAAGGTGATTTTCTATGAGCTAAATGGACTAGAAGATCGCACATAGAGATTGTGTGCAGAGGATTTGTCAGTATTCTCCCTAAGACACCTAGAAACCTTGTGGACTACTATAGTACAGGAGATAAGAAAGTGCTGTCCTGTCTTAGTAATAGGTGTGCATTATCTATCTATCTATCTATCTATCTATCTCTATATCTCATTTTAATCTAAAAGTATTTTTTTTTGTGTCAGATAATGTCACTGCAATAAAAGACATATTTATGCAAAACCTAATTTTAAATCGTTAGAAGTGGTTCCACTTCTTGTAAAAGGTGCTGTAGATGAAATTCTAAGATAAAGAGAAACTAATGGGCATGATCTCTGTGAAATCCAACAGTACGATCTGTGTATGTATGTCTTTTTCTTATATAATAACATCCCTTCCTTCCCTCTCTCTAACACTTTACTGGGTTTCATGGATTAGCTTTCAAATTTCCAGCTTTCAATGTGTTTTGCTTGCTAATACTGATGTAACAAAGATGATGGTGTTCACTTAATTCTGTGCTCTGCGCACTGTGATCATAGCATTCAAATAAAGTTCAGTTCTATTCCAACCTTAAGTTATCAGTTATATACTTCATATACTTTACAAATCCCCCTCCTGAAAAGATGCAGTAAGAAATTATTGATGCACTGAGTGATCAGCATTGACGCAGGCGGTAGCTGCGTACTTGGTTATCAGATCAGACATACTGTACTTTAATAATCCCAGGGGGAAATTACAGATGTGATTGTTATAAACACATGCAGGCTAACTAAAACAATGCATTTTACTGATTTTGCTCTTCTTTCTTTTTTTGTTGCGGCTGCATGGAAACAGGTGGTAAGTTCAGACTAAGAATATATTGATAAGCATTTGTTCTTAAACCTTATTATATGGTTCAATTTTTAATGTAAAATTCATCCAAAAACAGTTGCAGGTGGAGTTCAACAGCCAAGTGGTAGGTGCTTTTTTTTAATTATTATTATCGTTATCATTAACGTAGTTTATTTGACTGATTCCATACATGTTTTTAAGCCTTTTTTTACTTTTGCTTAAACATTTTATTTGATAAATGTATTTCTGTTACATAGAAAATGGGAGTCACAGCAACTTCTGGTGGTTAGAGAAGTTATTTTATGTTTCTTGGATTAGTATTTTCTATGCACAATATATTAATATTCTACATAATATATATATAATATATTATATATATTATAATATTATAATATATTTGTAAATTACTCTCTGATGTTTACAGCTAGACAGCATCAATCATTATATACTACTACAATGAGTTGATGATTCATTCATCCAATGATCTACTAGGTAGACTACATGGTCGCCTTACCCAAGGGCAAATTGACATGTGCAGAGGAAGCTGGAATTGAACCAACAGAATTCCTATTGCTACATGTAGATAGTTTCTCTTCCTGTCAATCAATGTCTGCCTTGATAAAATCCAATCACATTTAAATACAGTCCAATGACATACAGTCCAAGTGGACCTTGATAATAATAATAATTTAGTAGGATCGTTAATGCCTGTTGGTGAAATGTACTGATTTCACTTAGATTTACAGCATACCTCATATTGGGTACAATATTCCTGAAAAATACCCTGTTTGTTATTGTTTTGTGCTTCAAAGCAAATTAACATTTATTAGTTTTCGTTGTGATTTTCTCTGACTAACAATAACTAGAATACATTAAACCAAAGTGATCATTCATCCAGACAGAGATGGTTTATGCAGGGGTTAAATATTTGAATTTAATACCCATATGATCAATGAAAATACTGTTATGTTTAAAACCCAGCGAGGTGATATTACATTTGAGTCCACCAGAGGGAGACAAAGACGGGAAGCTCTGCTGCTGTTAATGTATCTCTCTGTGCAGCAAACAGTCATGCAATGATTCTGAACACTGTTGTTTTTCTAGGGGTTGGAGTCAAACAGCAAAAGCCCTATGGACAAGGTAAATAAAGCTGGTAGTTTAATTCCCTTGAGGCCAGTTCATTTAAAACCTTGTCTGCAGATATATGAAGATACTATACTGCTGATTCATTCAGATAGATAGATAGATAGATAGATAGATAGATAGATAGATAGATAGATAGATAGATAGATAGATAGATAGATAGATAGATAGATAGATAGATAGATAGATAGATAGATAGATAGATAGATAGATAGATAGATAAAATTGTGCATGTTATTGGACTTTTCTTTGCATTTTTCAGTTCAGTGTGAGAGCATTCTTAGATGATTGACATGCACTGTTTTTGTGATTACTCTTTAACATGCAGGCTACGTTCCTCTGAACAAGCAGGGTCTGTCTAGACAACAAATGGCCCAAGCAGAATCAATAAAAGCAGTTTATGTAAAAGGAAAGGCTGCATCAGGTCCTTTTCAGCCCAATTACACTTTTCTAAAGACTAAACATTCTACAGAGTTCTCTTGCTTCTGCAGCTTTAGAGATTTGGAAGGTTTTATAATCAGTGAGAGAAATGCTGAAGTAAAAGGCAAAGGACAAAAACAAATTGACATTAGTTAATGACTTATTCAGACAAGGCAGTTCCACTGAGAAAATCCCAAGAGTAAGAAACCAAGCCTTAAATGTTTAACGGCTTACTATGGGTGAAAGATATGTATTTATTTTATAAGGCAGTCAATTTAAAACCAGTAGTGAGCAAGTACTGAAGCTTGATCTTGTCAGGATTACTGTCTGGTGTCCTTTCAACTCCTGTTTTACCCTCGTCAACAGATTAGCCCTCCACTCATCAGTAAACCCACCGATCTTCAAAATAAAACACAAGAAATGTTTAAAAAAAAAACATAATGTGAACTAAAAAAATAACATAGAAATGAATGATAATCAAAAAATAATAAAAATGATACAGAAAAAAATCTGCTTGATGCCACATATTGAAGTTAAGTCAAGTTTCAGTTTCAATTCAGTTTATTTATATAGTGCCAATTCATATAATCTCAAGGCATTTTACAATTCAACCAGACCATACAGTCAAAATGATTCAAAGTTTTCTATCTAAGGAAAACCAGTTGATTGCATTGACTCATTGACTCCAAGGCAATCCCTCACACTAAGCATGCTTATAGCAACTGTGGAGAGGAAAAACTCCCTTTTAACAGGAAAAAACCTCCAGCAGAACCAGGCTCAGTGTGAGCGGCCATCTGTTGAGGCCGACTGGGTTCAAGGAGACTGAAGCAGACATAGAGAAAGAACCAGAGATACAAAAGGCAACTGTCAAGCAGCTCCACAAGCGCCCCATCCAGGAAACACAGAGCCAGGCAGAAGAGCTCCCAGCCATTTCCATATCAGGGGATGAAGAGAGCACATACAGTCACAGTCAGAGAAAAAGGACCACTCTGAAAAAAAGGCCAAGCTCCAACATCTATAAGCAAAAGTGTTGATGGCAGCAGCACAGCTGATATTTCTCTCCAGTATGGTGTCACAGCCAAAGAGGAACAGACCAGATGAAGCTACTATGAGAAAAAGCAGAGAGTTGACAGAATTAGGGATTGAACTAACAAATTCTGCAGAGTGGAAGAATAGAGATAGAAAGAAGCATAATGATGAAACAGGGTCCCTAAGTCCTCCAGCAGTCTAAGCCTAAATCAGCATAACTATAGAGATAGCTCAGGATAACCTGAGCCACTGCTGATGAAGGTTCTCAGTCATCCAGGTCATAGTCATTCCGTAAAAATTCGAAAAATATCCACTGGACTTGGTTTTCAAGATTTGAAGACGTTTCGCCACCTCTCCAGGAAGCTTTCTCAATTCAAATGTCTGGATCCGCAGTGAGTTTGAGTCTTATATAGACAACGCCTTGTATCGCTTGGAAACATGCAATGGTAACCGATGAATGGGTCGTTAGTTCCATGTAATATCAGATATTACAGGCTAACGATGGAACTAACGACCCATTCATCGGTTACCATTGCATGTTTCCAAGCGATACAAGGCGTTGTCTATATAAGACTCAAACTCACTGCGGATCCAGACATTTGAATTGAGAAAGCTTCCTGGAGAGGTGGCGAAACGTCTTCAAATCTTGAAAACCAAGTCCAGTGGATATTTTTCGAATTTTTACGGAACCTGAGCCACTCTAACTATAAGCTTTATCAAAAAGGAAAGTTTTAGGCCTACCCTTAAAAGTAGACAGGGTGTTTGCCTTATGGACTAAAACTGGTATTTGGTTCCACAGGAGAGGAGCCTGAGATAAGACTTGTTTAGACATTAATGGCTGTTTTTTTTTTTTTTTTTTTTTTTTTTTTTTTTTTTTTTGGGGGGGGGGGGGGGTGCATGAAAACATTTGCAAGCAATTATTTCAGTTATGGTATTTATATTGGTTTTGATAAAAATATGATGGTATCATTTACTAGGTAAAGAAACATGATAACAGAAAATGACTGGAATAGAGCAACATGGGCAGCAATAAAAGGCTGTATTACAAAAAATATAAACATAAAGTAATGACTGTTTGTTTCTTTATTTTATGTCCAGGTGGATATTACTATCCTTACGGAGGCAAGTTGCTTGGTGTTTTTTTCCTTTGGTCAAATATTTATAGTTCTGCTTGTAAGTGCACTAATAGGTCTGTATTCTCCATGTTAGCTCCTTATGGTACTGGTGTGGGTACTGTGCCTGGACAGGGAGCAGGAAAGCCACCTGGATCAAAACCTGGTAAGGTTGTGGCTGCTAAAGAGACGTGTAAATTGGTAGTGTGAAGTGTTTTCTTTTTTTTTTTTTTTTTTTTTTTTCATTCCTTAAAGAATCACCAAAACATTTTAATTCAGCAAATAATACGTTTAGCATCATGTATCTCTGTGGGTTTTTTGCAGGTGCTACAGGTGGTGTAGGAATCCCACTGACCTCAGGAGGCTATCAGGGTCAGTGTTCCTCAAAGTGTCTTTTAATTTTACTTAAACTCTAAGATTTCTTCAGAACCAACAAGCCAAATCATCTCATATTCTGATAATACACAATGCAAACACCTGCAGTAGCAGCCATTCAAAATGGCCCTTCCCAGTCAAACACTATCTGAATGGCAGCTCACTTCCCTGCAACTCCCAGCAAAATCCCCTCCAACTCCCAGCCACTGGGCGTGCATATTTTTTTACTCTGACTCCACCCTTTCACTGAATTACAGGGTCTGACCAGGAGATGATGCTTCTTTTTAGATCATATTGTCCACAAATCATAACAGAATATTTTAGTACAAAGATTGATGTTTAAAAAGGAATTGTAAGGGATCAGCCAGCCAGGGACCAAAGGCCCATCAAGGAAAGTGGGGACATTTTGAATGGCTACTACTAAAGAAGTAAAGGGAAAACCAGAAGCTCAAATACGCCATATAAACTGTCACCTTATACCTATAACTTGCTTATACATGTAAAAAAAAAAAAAAAAAAAAAAAAAAAAGCACATTAAAACCATTAAAAAATATTAGGAAAGACAGGAAAAAACAGATTAGGCAATGAGAGATTAATAACAAAAACCCTAGATTTTTAACCTTGTTTTAAAGGAACTCAGGGTGGGCGTTGTCCTGCAGTGTACAAGCATCTAAGTCCAGATTTTATGAGAAAAGCAATTGCAAACCACTTTGTCCTTAATATCAATTAATTATGTTAATCAAACCTTTTAAGTTTGATTCACATTATCTTAAAGCACTTAATGGTTTGTAGCAATGAATAAGATGGAAGTTTTACTCACATCTCTTACCGGTTAGTACTTGGTTAGCACTTCAAAATTAACTTGTTTTTTTAAATATTCTATCAGCAACATCTTAAATAGGTTGTAGCTGTCCTCTACTGATTATTTTTTTAAATTCTGTAAAATAGATTAACAATAGTAAAGCCTACAGGAAAGAAAGGCATAAACTAATTTTGAGTCCAGTTTGGACGTCAGTTTTCTGATATTGTTAAAGCGATATTTTGCTGTTTTAAATGATTGGTTCGATATAGTTTTTAAGATTCATTGGAGGGCTTATTATAAAACCCATCTCATTTAGGTGGGCACTGAATATAAATCTATCATATTTTGGTCCAAAAACCAAGAAAAATTTGAAACATCTAACTGTTAATGTGGTTAGTACAATTATTAAATGGCTTTACTTGAGTATAGTCCACTGTTACACAATTGTAGGCTGCATAAATGTGGTACTGCTTTATTACTTTGCAAAATCTGAGCATGTGGAAACATCCTTACGTTAAATAGGAGAGGAAAATGGATGGAATATTGGAAAATTATCCGAACAATTTTATTCTGTTTAAATTTGAAGATACGGACAAAAATATGCTTTAAATATCAGTTTACACCATGTAAATACCACACCAGAATAACCAATCAATTTGCTGCTGTTGGGATCATAAATAGTCAACATCAACGTTAAACCCTGTACTGGGAAGAAACAGAATTTGTATCGAGATTGTACCGCAACCAAGATCTACATGCTCACTAAAAACCAGATTAATATGCATCTAATCTGTCACAATTTGCTTTGGAAATTTTTGTGAGGACCCAAATGCAGAGGCTGAGAGGCAGGAGTGAGTTCTTTGATGATTTAATGGGATAACAGAGGTAGCAAAAACAGGAATCCAAAAATCCAACATTGAAATTAAACACTAACCAGAACCATGGAGACATCAGGCGGAAACTATCACAAGGAGCCAGGGTGAGACAAAGTAAAAGGGGAACCAGCACTGAGGAACTGCATAAGGAGTGTATTTATGGGAGACTGAAACAAAGAAAGGACTAACGAGCAGGAGCAGGTGTGAACAGAGCAGCACAGGAAAGGAGCAAGGGAAAAAGGAGAACACAAGAGGGCAACAGAGGAAAAGCAAAGAAAAACCTAAGAAACTAAAATAAATCCAGAACACACCAATAAAGCTAGAAAACAAGGAAAAACCTGGATACGCTTGAAACGGAAAACTTAAAGAAAACCAACAGAACCAAGGTCGTTACATAATCAGCTCAAAGTTACAAATCTTTAATTGTTGAAAAGCTATTTTCTTCTAATATTTAAGCCTAGTTTGGCAACTTTGATATGGGTTGGTAATTACCGAGTTTTAAAGAGTCCAGAACACTCTTCTTGAGAAGTGGGGATAGAAATATTCCGTCATCATCCTGCCCAGGAAGGAGTCTGGTTCTGTGTACCAGAGATTAATGGGTTTCGGTTCAAAATGTGTGAATCAACCTCAGATAAAATGTAGGTGATTCTGTGAAAAGGCCATCTGAAGTTGGTTCGGTAGCCTAATAAGAATGTACTGTAGGTCCTGTATAAAAGGCCATTACTGGAAGCTTAAAAAGGCCAGATTAGGTTAGTGAACAGATGTGCTGTGGTTTCATGAAACTTGTTCATAATGAATATTTCTACATTTGGAGGAAAAAAGGAAAGTTTGCTTGTCGGTATACACCATCTCAACTGTGGAGGCTGCCTTCTGTATGCATGTTTAGTGGCAGGGGGGAGCAATAACAGTGTAGATAAATGTCCCCTGTCAATTGTAGAGGACAAAGTTATCATTCTTCTTCAAAACGGTTAAATGCCATTAGATCAAGACTAAACACTGTTGGCATTAAAGTTAAGGACCATGTACAACTAATACACAACATTCCCCTGAACACTAAAAAAAATCCACATAGTTGTCCGGCCCAATGCTCAGAGTGACAGTTGGTCAGGACATGCCATCACACCACTTCCTGTGCAGGAAATCGGCCAACAAGCTGATTAGTGACAAACGAGGAAGTGCTTTGATGTTGTTTTAGTGAAGAAAATATTCACAGCTTTTCTTGCCTTTTTGCATTTGTGCCTGCATTGTTTTTTAAATTTTTTATAGACTGTATATCAACAGCTCTATGAAACTGACTTCTGTTTTTTCTGTAAAACTGCAGTTGGACAGGGAGGAGCTGGTGGAGTGAAAGCACCCAAACCCGGTAATGTAAAATCCCTCACTCTGCAGCAGTTATCATTAATCTACCAGGTTCCCCTTTAAATATTCATAACACCGCAAGCAACAGGTCCAGTCATTTTACCCCAAAAATCTGAAGAATCCTGCTCCACCAAAAAAATGGAAACACAAAAGTGTTAAGCGGGTGTAAATGGAGCAAGGAAACTACAGATAATTCCCGACTGCATGGTGATAGCTGTTGGCAATACCAAGATAACATCAGTTAAGTTTTCTTTTCTTTTTTTTTTTCTTTTTTCCAAGAAAAAGGCTCTGCTTGAACCCTTCCCAGAAAAACAAGCTAAAATCTGTCTTGAGGAATTCTTGTATGACCTGAAATGAATCATGTCTTCTCAGAGAAAAACAGGATCTTACTGTCTAAGATAACTGTAAAAAATATAATATATACGTAAATGTCTCAGTCACAGAAAGGTTGTTTATAAGAGTTATTTTGTGTTTTATTTGTTCAGGTTATGGTAATCTTGGAGGAGGAGGTGTATATCAGCCAGGTGAGGATCAAAATACGCCATCAGTAATCAGACATGTAAAAAAATGCAAAATACACCTATAATGCAGATGTGTGTCTTAAGACATAAACCAGCTCTGTATTTGAATAAGTTATGTTTTCATTATATCTAGATGCCCATTGGATTTTTTTTTTTGGAAAAATAAGTCTCCAACTAATATGATAATACTAATATGAATCTGAATCGGGAGTTACAGGTGGTACAGGACTGGGAACCATAGGAGGAGGAGTCGTACCTGGAGGTGGACAGTACTCTGCTGCTGCTGCTGCTGCTGCTAAAGCTGCTAAATATGGTACAGCTAATTGGCAAACAAATACAGGCTTTGAATAGAATAAATACACTTAACACTGGATTTTTAAAAGGGCATGTGTTAAGTTTAACCATTATTTTGTGACAGAATGTTGAGGGTATTTGGGTTTTATACTGTAGGGGATATAAATAGTTTTTCTGTTTTTCCCTCCCCTAGGTGTTCCATCAGGAGTAGGACAAAGACAAGTTCAAACAGGTACACTATTATATAATCTGTATTTGTGCAGCATCCTTGATGTTCTGTTATGTGTGAGGAACTTGTTGGATATAACAGAATCAGTCTTCCTACTAGGGGTGTCCTGATCTGATTTTAATATTGGATATAGTTCCAATATTAGACAAAAAGCTAATAATCCGAATATATCAGCCTGCATCTAAAATTTCCGATGGAAACACTGTTTCTGTTCAAAGTTTCTGGTTTGTGTTTTCATCCCCATTGTTTTTGACTCTTGATATCTGTTTCAGTAATAATACTTAACATTCTACAGTAGAAAGTAAGTAATAAAAGCATAATGCTTTTAATATCGTATCGGGTCAATATCAGTATTGGTCAATTCTCAAAGCTGCAATATTGTTCCACCGACATGGACCTGTTAATGTAAGGGTATTACAGAGAGAGGATGCCTTTAAACTTTTAGATATGCAGGTCAGTCGGTGTTGTCCATGTCTCCACGACTTCATGTTGGTCAAGTAACGGCTGACATGTCATGGCATCAAAAATAAACTGTGAATAAAGAGTGTGCACGAAGCAATACAAGGATCGATTGAGGGGGGCTTTAATAGAGCTATATGTGTATATATTTTTTATTTTTATCTTGGTTGGTTGTGTATATATATATAAAACTGTAACTGGAGCGTGTAACAAAAGTAATTTCTAATTCTGATTCTGAATATGTTTTAATATGTGTTTAGAAAAGAAGAAGCTATTTCCTATGTCCTTTAAGGGAAAAGAAAGAATTATATAATAGTAAAAAAATTTATAATGGAAACAAAATTAAACATATAAGATCTTAACAAAGGGAAAACTAAAAGGTTCAGAAAGCCATATTGCTGTGGTATTATTGTACATATATCGCCAGGGTTTTGGCTAAAGAAGGGAGGTGTTGGCTAAAGAATCAAAGTTCATATTTAGTGCCCAGATGGACATGTTAATGTAAGTGCATTACAGAGCAAGAAAGCCATTAAATGTGTGGATATGCAAGTGTCATCTGTATCTCCAGAACTTAACAATAGTGGAGTAAGAGCTAATGTAACAGGATCAACATGCTATTGGTCATAACCATGAGATGCAAGTAAAATGCAATGTTTTCAAAACTCTATCATACTGCATAGCGGATTTTTGACTATAATAACAGCATGAAGTTATTGCTAGTTAAGATGCTTGATTCCAGGTCAAGTCCCAATTCATTGGTATTTCAAGGCAAAGTTGGGTTGTGGGTCTCCTTTGATATAATTACATACATTTTAAATGAATCTAATCTGTAAGCCAGGTCTGACTTGAGTTCAGCCATAAAGTCAAAGACTTGCTTAAAACCATTGCAAACCACCAATTTCAGGTTTTATTTGTGAAATAAATATAAACCATGAATTTCTCTCCTTCCATTTCATGTTCATTTATTTATTTGTTTTTATATGTCACATAAACTCTCAGTAAAATATATTCCAATTTGTGAGTGTGAAAAGATAATAAATGAAATAGTTTAAGGGTGATTAATGTCACACATGCTTACCAGTGATGAATGAGTGTAATCACACTAGCAGCAGCCGGCAGCACAACCTCCTCATGTTACCCCACAGACCGTGGACAGGCTCATCACAAATAGATATGGCCCTAATCCCTCTCCCAGAGGTCGGAGGCTGGCGCTGCAGATGGTACAAAAAAATTAGGAAGCTGCCCAACATAACTAAGAGGGATATTTATTAAACTATTATTAAAGTAAATTTAAAAAAAAAGAGGTTAAACTGTACTGCTTACTACTTTTATTAAATTGATGTATGCTGGTTTAAACTAAAAATGATGGAATTTGGTTATAGATATGTAAACTCAATAATTTTCCCACCTGTTTATTTATTTTGTTATATCTTCTTTTTTTGTAATATGTTGCCCAGTGGCACTCTGATCCTACACTCATGAAATAACTACTTTTAAAACCTACAGGAGTGGTTCCTGGTTATGGCGGAGGATACCCGCAGCAGTACTACCCAGGTAGCCCTGCAGTTTGCACATTAACAGATTCTCTCAGACAATAAACGTGTGAAATATTCTCAATGCTGTTAAGAAAGTGATGGACATTATGTAACATTCTTTTTAAGTGAATGATAGTTTTGATGCAAACTTGTATCTAATGCAATTACAAGATGTGTTTTTCCAGAAATATTCAGGGATGATTCATAATAATTAACAGAAAATTGAGACATAAACACAATTCGTTATTTTCCGTATGGCAATTTAAAGATGTATTAAATGTAAACAAACTCAATATAGATGTATAAAAATTACTGATCAAAGGTTAAGTGAGCGAGGTAGCTCTAAATGTCTAAACATCTGTGTCTTCCTGTAGCTTATAATTATAAATCCTCTTGTTTTACCAAAAAAGAATAAACTTCAAGATGAAAATATGTTCTACTGCATTCAGATCAGTCAGATTACGTCTGCTACTGTACACTTGCTCTCCTGTTCTTGATTTACAGTTTCTCCTGTTCACGGAAGAAGTGCAGTGTTGCTTTTTGTTTATGCATTTTACCCATGTCACATTGTTATATATATATATATATCGCTTTAAAAAGCTGCACAACTTTAACTAGATAAATTTACCGTAATCATTGCAGATCCAGTGGGAACCATGTCAGGGAACCACAATCAGTCTTGGAACTTATAAACCACAACTTAAAACACAACAAATCACCACTGCTATACAATTCAGTTGTTTTTTTGTGTTTTTGTTTTTTTTAAATGTCAGCAATGATCTAATAATGATGTTGTGAGTCTCATGCTACATCCCATAGACCCTCAGTCTGCACCGAAAATGATTAACTCAGCTCAGCATGCAGATTTCATAGGGATATGACCGTGTTTTCTGACTGATTGTGACTGCAGTATCTACCTGTTTGGAGGCATTTGTTTACTCTGGATAGAGGATGGACATTTTTATCTCCAGATAGAGAGATAAAATCCCATTTACCCCATTATGCTAAAAATATATTAAACAATGTAACTTCATAAACTGCACATATATTTCAGAGGTAACAGGCTATGATCTTTTAAAAACCATTTATGTGTAAAACTACTTGCAATGTAATTCTATAGAAATAATTTACAGAACTTATTTATCTTTTTTGCACCTATTTATGAGAAGGGTTCAGAAAAGTCAGACGTTTTCTTTTTGCTTTGTTTTTTATTCAATTTATTCCAAAGTTACTGACATAAAAAGAGCATTCTTTGCACAAAGTCAAACCTTTTTTAGTGTAAATCAGTCAGTTCTGGCCCAGAAAATAAACTCTGGATTCAATTTGACTCCATTTTATCATCCCTCTATTTTTATTGTATCATTATTCTTTCAGCATCTATGACAGAACCTGACTTGTTTCAGCCTAGATTATGTCTGTAAACGAACCTGTTTCACATGTGCTTTGTTTTTGATGTTGTTTTAGGTCAATATGCACCTGCTCCACTGAGCCCACAACAAGGTACCAACTTCAACACCTTGCTCTACATTTAATCAAACATCCTTTAAAGGTTTCCTTCTTTAAAATGGTTTGACAGAGGAGAGTGTACAGAAGAAAAACAAATAACATAGGCGCTCACTCAGATATGACGGCATTCATGAAATGTGACAAACTATTAGTACATAAATCTGTGACTGTGACCTTTTATAAGGTAAAGCTTTTTTTTAAATTGGTGAATAATGATGAGTGGCGGCTAAGTTTCTGAAAATCTAAACAAAAAATATCATTTATACATTGCTTAAATGTTTAAAGAACTGATTAATGTTGTTTAAAAAAAATACAACTTTTCCATCTACAAACTACCACCACAATGTATTCATTCTAGCATTATTTCATCTAATGGTTTTCAGTAATGACATTAAAAAACAACATACGTTTGGAAAAACATCACAAAAAAGTGTTGTTTTTTTTCTTGTCACAATTTAATGGAATTTTACTGTTAGAATTATTGAATTTTGTTTCAAACAAATCTTATCTTTATGCGAAAATGCTATACAGCAAACAGTTAACCATCCGATTTATAATGATCTGGAGACATTACACATATTTTAATACAGAAAATAAATGTAATCCTCTAATAAGCAGATTATTTTAAATCTTTTTTTTTTTTTTTTTTTTTTTTTTTAGCCAAGGCAGCAAAATATGGTGCACTGCAGAGCTTCCTTGGAGGAGGAGGAGGAGGCGGAGGTGGTGGAGGACTCTACAGAGGTGGGTTTCGGTCTTTAACCCTCCAAAATTATCAAAACCCCTGATTCCTTGGTAAGAACATAACAAACAATGGGAAATATCTGTTTTAAAAAAAATCATATGCATCACATTCATCATCTTCTGTAATGAAATTGCAACAAGCCTGTGCTGCAGTTAATCTTTAGACTTTATTCATGTTTTTGTTTGTTTTGAACCTGACAAGCTAACCTATTTTAAACTTTTGATTTTCCTCTCTGATTCTGGAAACTTAAAACACCAAATTCTTCGTCATATTGTTAGTAATCCTTTCAGTTTCTTTTGGGAATAGATATGACATGACATAGACAGAGCCCTGTTTTAGTTTGCTCCACTTTAAAAAGTAAAAAGGAAATGGTACATATTTAAATTTACTTCTCTCAATAAGTCACTGAATTTCAGTCAACTTTATTAGAGAGAACAAGGAATTACATCTAAGGACACAGAAAGAAAAAATTGTCAAAAATCCTTCATTTAGTACCGTCCAACCGTATAAAGTGTTATAGGAGAGCACTGCAGTGTCATTTGAGTTAAAGTTAATTATAAAACACATGACAAGGAAGTGTTTTTTTTTCTCTCTCCTGTGACTAAATGTCAAATTAAAGGCTAGATTTGCAGCATGACATTAATTCATCTTAATGCAACCGGTGTGAAAAGCTCTGCAGATCTCAGCATCAAAAACTGTAATCATAACATGGTGGGTTATGTGAACTTATTCCCCTGTTCCCTGTAGGTGGCGCTGCAGGATGCCAGGGTAAATACTGTGGGAGGAGGAAGTAGACGGTCCCCAGATCCAGTGACCTCAAGAAACCATGGTGCTACTGCATGATCTAGAATGTACATTTTATATGGAAACAATGCCCGATTAGACAACCTGTAAAGATGTTCGTTGTTGCTTACTTGACTTCAATGTCTGTTTTTCTACAAACCCACCGACCCAGAGTTTTGTACATGTTCTGTTATGAACATATGTTATAGATAGTGCCTTTAATTAATCATTTATGTGCTCCAGTTAATCAGCTCTTATTCTCTGTACTCCACCAAAGGGGGTTTAGAAGTGTTTTTTGTCATTGTGTGTTGCTGCATTAGACTTTGTGTGAGTGAGTTTTGTATTGTGAGGATCAGTCTGATCTTTCTGCCTTAATCCCCAAAACAAGTGGATCCATCACACCTGTCTGCGCAGAGCTCATCGCCTTTCGGGGGGGAGTGTTGATTTGGTGGAAGCTCGCCCAAATACTTCATCAAATCTGTCCAATCTCTGCCCCCCCCTTTTCCTCTGCGACTATTTTTATCCATGCTGAGTGTAAAGCAGCAGGAGATTGCTCGGGCCAACCCATCTGCTCTCTGAGATTTTGCTGATTCCTGTTGCTGCAAAGTGAAGCCGTCTCAGCACTTCTCTGTTCTCTAAATGAAAGAAAGCTAAACACAGTCAAAACATTTCTTCAGGCTTTACAGAAGGGAAAACATTTGTTTAGAAGTACACTGCAAAAACAATCCAGAAATAAGTAAAAAATGGCTTAAATTAAGTATATTTAGCCTTAATTTGAGCAGGTAAATAAGATGATTTGCCAATGGAATGAGTATTTTCACTCTTAAAATAAGATAGTTAGATAATATTTACTTGAAATAAGACGATAAAATAGTTTTTTCTTATTTTAAAAGGAAATTGTCTTGTTCCATTGGCAAAGTGTCTTACTTACCTCCTCAAATCAAGGAAAAACACACTTATTTTAAGAAAAAATAACTTATTGAGATTTATATTTTTTGCAGTGTAGGAGTTAGTCTGACAAGTACTTTATGTGTGGTTGAACATTGAGTGAGCATTAGTGTCATTTATTTGTTAGGACTAATAGCTGTATTCATCGGCGTCACCAGACCCCATTTACTGGGGCACGTGCCCCAGTATAAATGAGCTGTGCCCCAGTATAAATCTCATGAATATTTGCAACAGTGATACATTTTTTTAATGCATCAATTTAGATAATGGGAGGAGACGTATATTTCTACTCAAATGCGTACATCCAAATTGAGGATGTATTAGCGCCCCCACGTCAGCGCATGTCACTGCATGAACTGCAGGTAAATTAACGCGCTGCTCTCAGCTGAGTTGATGGGACACTGTGCGGCGGCGACGCATTTTTAGTTCTGGTAACGTTTCTTACCTGTCAATTTTATTATTTTCCCAGTGAAACCACATGATTTATAGGCTACTAACTGAAAATTACTGGATATCAGGAAATTCCTCACACGAAGCAGAGACAGGGAAGCAGTAAAACAAGATGAGAGAGGGAGGTAAGGTCCCGTGATGAATTAGTGATTTAAGCTAACCAGTTACATTAGGAACGTTATAAGCAATATGATAGATATTTACATAATTATAAATTTACGTTTTTTAATGTTCGCTGTAGAGAATGAGAATGAAGGTGCTGGAGTAGGAAAGGGAGGAGGGGGCGAGACTGACGGGCAAGAGACAGGTGAAGGACAAGAGAGACAGGAGAGAGACAGGACCATGAAGGTGATGAGGGAGCAACAACCAGCTTCCACAAACAAGAAGGGGACATTAGTGACTTAGGGGGAAAGCATGGTGGTCCTAGACAAGTGAAGTTGTCCCACCATCCCCAGGACAAATTTGGAGTAAAAAAAACGTTCATTTAATTCAAAATGGTTTGAAAGCTTTTTATAATTTTTATAAGCCTTGTCATCAAGGATATGCAGTGTGTTTTCAACTTGCTTGATAACATCATGTTCCCAAGACTAACACAGGTCATCCAGATCTCCCTCACAATCCCAGACTACAGCTGTAGTTGTGAAAGGTCATTCAGTGTGCTGAGAAGGATCCACACTTGGCTGAGGTGCACAATGGGACAAGACAGGCTCCATCATCTTGCTATTTTATCAGTTGAAAAGGAAGAACTTTCTAAGCTGAGTCACAGTCTAGTGATTGACCGCTTTGCAAAAATGAAAAATAGGAGGTACACTTTAATGCTCAAAAAATAAAAGAAAAACTTAGTTCAGGTTGAGTTAAACTTTCCCCTGAACTAAAACTCTAGGAATTAATGATTACTTCAGAATGTGTATAAGGAAACTTTTTATTTTTAAAGTTGGTAATGTCTTATTTTTTATAGCTGCAATGTTGAAAACGTTCATGTTTGTTAAAACAAATATGCTCTTACACTCATTAATATCTCAACTGGTAATTTTGGTAGGAATTTATCAGGGTGGGGCAGTGTGCTTGTCTGTATTTGTGTATGGAAGGAGGGGCATATGTGGTATGGGGGCCAGTGCCCCAGTAAAGCTTTGTGCCTAGCAACGCCCCTGGCTGTATTGTTATCAGGAGAGCATAAAACAAAGAAACATCCTTTTGCATTTATCCTCTGTCACTAACTATTATCACAAGCTTTGTTTATTGGGGGAGGATGTGTGTTTATGTGAGGCATAAAATCCTCTTGTTTATTTACTTGAGCTGCTTTTATCGAGGCTTTATTGACCAAAGGTTTCTGAGTGCTGTTGCCGACGTGACCCTATCTCTCCATGTGTAACTATGTACTGTATTTTTAACTAATTTTGATGTTAGCCAGCTTCAGTTCCTTCAATCGAGGCTGCGTGAGAGCTGTCTTTGAGCCTCGCCTGGATAGACCCTGTTGTATGTGGCGTGGGATGCTCTTCATCTTTATTTAAAACTATTTTTAGAAGGAGGAACAGTGTGGTTTTGCACTTTTTTTTTTATGATCTCCACGACACATGTGACTCGATCCCAGACATCCTGGCAATGTATTTGCTTTAACAGATACCAAAATAAAATGTGTTTAAAGAAGCTTTCTTCTTCTTTGTTTGATTTTTAATGACTGAACAACTAAATTTATTAAAACCCTCCACTTTTTTTGTTGCCTCAAAAGTCTTTTTTTTTTCTGTTTTTTTAATCTAATATATTTGATTACTTTTCAGCAAAATCAAGAGATTCTGCAAGAGAGAACAGATGCACAGACACTTCTGACTTTATTCATATTTTGTCTCATCATAACCTCAAAATTTAATATAATTTAAGTGAAAGAAAAAAGAAAGCGAAATTATAAATGATTTTTACATTTTCCTTTCAAATTTTGAGAGGCCTGTCATTTATTTGCCTTTGGCTACAGATAAGCTTTCAGCTCCAACACAGTAGTTTTTGGAAATTGAAAAATGCTATGTTTACATGCAAACAGGGGCAAGAATTTGGATTGTGTGATAACGTGGCTAATTATGAAAAATCCACGTCCAGCCGAAGCATGTCCTTTTTTTAGGTGTCTTTATTGCACACTCTCACAGAACCAACAACCAACTTCTTTCTGCCTCCCTATGCATATCTTAGCTCGCCCATAACTAACATGGGAATACAATCCCTCTTGTGGCGTGGGGGTAGTACTGCATATTATAACTAACTCAGGATACTACATCCCTCCCCTCTTAAGTTTAAAGTACTCTTGTAAATGAACTTTAAATCTATTAACTATGTCACCCTCACATTAACCTTACTTTTGCTTAACAGTGAAACTACATAGATACTCAATCTTAACACAACCTAGGACTTTTTTTTTTTTTTTTTAAATAACTCAACCATATTACTCTACTCCTTTCAAGATTAAAGGTCAAATGCCAACAATCAAACCAAATAACTCTCATGACAATTTTTTTTTTTTTTTTTTTTAAACTAGGAAGGTTGGGTAAACTGCCAAACCTTCCCATGCATGTCCCAGAGCATGTTCTGACTCTTTCTTGAAGGATATGAATTCTAATTAACAAAGTCTCTCAGATAAGCAGGAGTCTGTCTGGTGCGTGCAGATCTTCGCAGCACAGGTGTCTTTTGGGCTTCTGTCCCTAGCGAAAGTTCAGCTGGAGGATGAACCTGGGTTGACTCAGCAGGCTGCTCAGTCATTTCCCCTCCCACTGAAGTTGGAACACCTGGGTCTGCAGGCACGACCTCCACTGCCTGCTCTGGCAACTGCAGGCTGACAGGCTCTCCTTCCACCTCATGACTGGACATCTCGTTTGATGATGCTTGACGCTTACGAATCTGGTCGACGTGACGTCTCATCACACGTCCATCTCCAGCCTGCACTGTATAGGATACGGGTCCAGTGTTCTCATCCACTACTGCTGGTATCCACTTTGGTCCATAGCTGTAGTTACGGACATATACATCATCTCCAGGTGCAAAACTTCTCCACTTACTGTGTATGTCGTGATGTTCTTTTTGTTTGAGTTGTTTCTTACGAATCTTTGACTTCACATCTGGCAGCAAAAGATCCAGTGTAGAACGCAGTCTTCTGGACATGAGCATTTCAGCGGGTGACAAGCCAGTCGTACTTTGTGGTGTAATTCTGTAGTTGAACAGAAACCTGGCTATTTTTGTTTCCAGTGTATCTCCTTTTGTTTTCTTAATTCCCTGTTTGAATGTCTGAACAGCTCTTTCCGCTAGTCCGTTCGATGCGGGGTGGAAAGGTGCGGATGTTTTATGCTGTATTCCATTCTGCTTCAGGAATGTTGCAAACTCTTGACTGGTAAAGCATGTTCCATTGTCAGATACTATTGTCTGGGGAAGACCATGTATGCTAAAGCACTGTCTCAGCTTTTCAATAGTCACCTGACTTGTTGCAGTGTTTGTTGGGTAGGCATCAATCCATTTGGAATGTGCATCCACTACTATCAGGAACATCTTTCCAAGGTAAGGACCTGCATAATCAATATGCAGCCTGCTCCAGGGTGTTTCTGGCCACTCCCATGGATGAAGTGGCGCCCCTGCAGGACACTTCCTATTTTCTTGGCATGTGTGGCAGGACTGAACTTCCTTCTCGACATCAGAATCCATTCCTGGCCACCACACATATGAGCGTGCTAAACCTTTCATCCTGGACATCCCTGGGTGCGTGGCGTGCAGCTGTTTCAGTATGACGCTCCTTCCTTTCTTCGGAACGACCACTCTTGACCCCCAGAGGACACACCCATCTTTCACACTCAATTCTAGTTTCTTTTTAGAGTAGGGTTTGAACACTGTGTCCACTTCTTTTGGCCAACCTTTCATGCACCAGAGTAACACTTGCGACAGTGTTTCGTCTTTGGCTGTCCACTGCTTCACCTGAACTGATGTGATAGGCGGATCTTCCATCAGATCCAGCAGAAGGACTTGTGCTGTCTCTTCTTCTTCTTCAGTATGTGGCAGCGGCAACCTGCTCAGTGCGTCTGCATTTGCATGCTCTTTTCCTGGTTTGTAAATTATTTTGTACTCGTATGCCCGGAGTAGGGTTGCCCATCTTTGCACTCTTGGTGAACACATCTGAGGAACGGGCTTCTTCTCGTGGAAAAGTGAGATCAGTGGTTTGTGGTCCGTGCTGATCGTAAACATTCGACCATAGATGTATTTATGGAATCTCTTTATTCCAAACATGATAGCTAAGCCCTCTTTATCCAGTTGTGAGTATCTCTTCTCAGCTGGTGTTAGCGTGCGGGACATGAAACCTAAGGGTTTTTCACTGCCATCTTCCATGATATGGGACAATATGGCACCCACTCCGTATGGTGAGGCGTCACACGCCAGCACCAACTCTCTATCCGCTGAGTAGTGACTCAGGACTTTAGCTGATTTCAGCATCTGTTTTGACAGTCGAAAAGCATCTTCCTGCTCCTTATTCCAGGCCCACTGGGCCCCTTTTTTCAGCAACTGGTGGAGAGGAGCTAAATGTGTAGCTAGGTTAGGGAGAAACTTGTTATAGTAGTTCAATAGACCAAGATAAGCCTTCAACTCGGTCACGGTGGTCGGCTGTGGAGCCTCTTCAATGGCTTTTATCTTGCTTTGCACTGGGTGCAGACCTTCTGCATTAATAATGTGACCCAAGTACTCCACCTCATTTCTCAGAAATGCACACTTGCGTCTGTGAAGGCGCAAGCCTGCTTCTTTCAGTCTCCTCAGTACCTCGTCCAGCGTACTTAGATGCTCAGCTTCATCTTCCCCTGTCAAAAGTATGTCATCTAAATACACTGCTACCCTAGGCAGACCCTGTAGCAAGCTTTCCATGGTTCTCTGGAAAATTGCTGGAGCAGATGACACTCCGAAGGCAAGCCTATTGTAGGTAAACAGGCCACGATGTGTGTTAATTGTTAAGTATTTCTTGGACTCTTCATCCATTACAATCTGCTGATAAGCATGACTTAAATCTAGCTTTGAAAACTGTTTCCCTCCTGCTAGACTATTAAACAAATCTTCCACTCTGGGAATGGGGTACTGCTCTAGAGATGAAGCGCTGTTGACTGTTAATTTATAATCGCCACAGATCCGGACAGAACCATCCGGCTTCAGGACAGGTACGATGGGTGCAGCCCACTCAGCATACTTTACTGGTGTTATGATGCTCTCTCTCTGCAGTCTCTCAAGCTCCTCTTCCACTTTTGCTCTCATGGCATACGGAACTGAGCGGGGTCTGTAGAACTTGGGACAAGCTTCAGCTGACACTCGAATGGTTGCTTTCATGCCTTTTAACATGCCTAACTCTTCTTTAAAAACATCTTCATGTTTTGAAAGTACCTGTTGTAGCCCTTGTGTCTCTGTTCTCACATGTTTTATTTCATCCCACTTAAGCTTCAGTGTCTCCAGCCATGCTCTTCCCAGCAAACTAGGTCCAGTACCCTTCACCACCACTAGGGGTAACGTCTTCACTTGCTGGCCATAGATTACTTCCACATCTGCTACTCCCACAATTTAAATTTTCTCCCCTGTATAGGATCTCAGTGTGAGCTTAGTTTCTTTGAGCTGTGGCTGCTTGTTCTCTTTCCACATTTCATTAAATGTTGTCTCATTCATAACACTCACACTACATCCAGTGTCAATCTCAAAGTTTACTTTCTTCCTATTCACTTCCATCTTTTACTTCAAATGGCTTAATTCTCCTTATTGAGGTTTCTGTTTTAATGCAAGCTAACGTGAAGGCTTCTTCTTGCTCTGATGAACTATCATCCTGCCCCTCACACACCTTGTGTGCTTTCTGTGGACGCGCGCGCCGCTCCTCTCTGTTTGGTTTCCTTTCATCTGGCCGCGAGCTCCCTTTATTTTTATTTCGGCAGGCTTTGGCGATGTGTCCTACTTTTCCACAGGCGTGACACTTTGCTTCTTTAAACTTGCACTCGGCTGCACTGTGTTGCTTTCCGTGGCATCTGTAGCACTCTTTCTTTTTCCAGTCTCCCTTCCTCTCCTTTCCCTCCGTCTTCATGCTGTTACAAGCTAACGGAGCTTTATTTTGAAGGTCCTGCACATTCCTACTGGCGGCTTCGGCTGCTACGGCAATTTGAAATGCCTTCTCAAATGTTAAATCGGTTTCAGATAACAAACGTCTTTGAATCCTATCATCATTGATGCCACAAACGAGGCGGTCTCTTAACATTTGCTCCAGTGTCGTGCCGAAGTTACAATCCTGAGCGAGTCGTCTCAGCTCAGCTACGTATACACTCACAGTTTCACTAGGCTGACGGGCACGAGAGTCGAATTTGTATCTCTGCACGATCTCGCTTGGTTTGGGATTGAAGTGGTCTTTCATGATAGTCACTATTTGGTTATATGTTTTCGTGCTGGGCTTATCTGGACTCACCAGGTTCCTTATGAGCTTGTATGTGGCTGGTCCCACCACACTAATGAGGATAGCTCGTTGCTTATCTCCATCATCAATATCATTAGCAACGAAGAACTGATCCAGAATCTCGCAGTACTCTTCCCAAGTCTGCTCCTTCGAGTCAAATGCTGACAGATTTCCTACCGTCATATTCATCTTCGTTTTATGTGTGCTCTTGTCCTGCGTCCGCCCGGTCTTTTTTTTGCACCGCTTCGTCTTCAGTCCACCACTCTTTTCAATCCTCCGTCAGCTTTCCAGAATTATCCTCGTCGCCAATATGTGATAACGTGGCTAATTATGAAAAATCCACGTCCAGCCGAAGCATGTCCTTTTTTTAGGTGTCTTTATTGCACACTCTCACAGAACCAACAACCAACTTCTTTCTGCCTCCCTATGCATATCTTAGCTCGCCCATAACTAACATGGGAATACAATCCCTCTTGTGGCGTGGGGGTAGTACTGCATATTATAACTAACTCAGGATACTACAGATTGGTCAGATGATTCCAAAAGAAATCTGTTAGTGGTTGAAAAAGACAAAACTGAGATTCACCCTCATGCAAAAAATAACTACTGTACAGCTAAATTACAATCTTTTTCAATCAAAATGCAATCAAAGTCTGCGTTTAAATGATTAAGAATCAGAGGCAGAATTTGACAACTAATCTTAATAGAATCTCTTTATCCAATCTGTCTGAACCAGGGACAAGTTTAGGGCAAGGAATTAACAAACATGTATTAATAGTCTACTTGTGCAAATGTCATGCACCAAAAGACCAGAACATGTAATTGCAGCAAGGGATTTCTAAGAAAAGCGCTGTATACAGAAGCCTGAAAATAAATGCATACAAATATTTTTTTGTCAAAACAAATGTACCCAATACTTGTGTAGGTCTAGCACCTAAAATTTATTTTTAGTTTATTTTTGTGGTTGCAATATGAGAAAATGTGAAAAGATTTAAAGGAATAGTACACCCAAAAGATGATTAGCCTTCATTTTCTACTCACCCCCATGCTGAACAACACTCTGGAGTACTTTTTTGATATCTCAAATGCATCTGGAGATCTGGGAGGCTTCTTGCTGTCTGCTGACATTCAAATAATGGAGGTCTATGGTGCCCGAGACAGAAAGGTCCATAAAAGTCCACAAAAAACGTGTCAATATTCCTCCATACTGCTCGTCCAATGTATTCCAAGTGTCCTGAGTGGGTAGCATCCAGAATTTACTCGAAACGAAGTCATTTAGAATGTTTTTAGAGCATAAACAGTAGTGTATAGGATTTCCTGAAAGCGCGCACATGCGCGCTCATGACGCTACGGAAGCCGGCAGACCTTGCGCAAGTAACCGTGATGCACAACTATGCTGCACGATCAAGTCATTTTTCGACAAGAAAATCTGCAATTTCGACATGTTCAAGCATCAAGAATTATAGCCACGTTCATAACGTTTGTAAGAAACCAAACTGTTTGTAAATCCGTCAAGAATTCAATGAGATAAGAGTATTTGTGTTCGTGCTGATCACTCACCTTACATTAAGTACCACAGAGCACAACAGAAAGCCTGCCTGTGGTAAGATGGCCGCCCGGTGATGACGTTTGAGACTCCGCCGTAAGACATCTAGCCTTTATTATGGATATCTATGATCCCGCTCCCCGTCTCTGACGCCTCATTGGTCGGCGGCTCTGTTGAATGAAGCGCCGCAGAAAGGAGCGACCAGCAGCGGGTATCAGGAAGCAGCGTGGGCCGCTGCAGCTGCAGGGATCCACCGAGGAGAATCAAGCACAGCGCCGGGGAGCAGGCTGCGGAGGAGCCGCTGGAAGACACCGATCACCAGTTATCTGCCGACCAGAGGTTCTCCGGGGGAGAGCAGAGAAGAGTGAATGAGGTTGATGCTGCTTTGCTGCACCTGGAAGGACGAACGCATGGGAGAGGAGGAAGGTGAGCAGCTGTTTTCTGGGGTGTTAAAATGCAGAGGATGCTGCAACCTGGGGGGAAATAAAAGCTGAAATATGCTATGGTGTTTGACTTATACTGATCTGAAATGGATTTATCAGCATTTTGTCTGCGGAGAGGCTGTATGGGGATGTTGCTGCTGCCATGTTTTTCTCCAGTTAATGCATCAATCATGTGTGTGTGCACCAAAGACTGAACAAGCTCAGCCTGCATGAGCAACCGGCATATACATGCTGGTTTATGATCAGAATAAAAATGAGGAAACAGGAATCATAGTTTTGAATTAATCAACTCATCTATTAAGTATTTCTTTCCTAATTATTGGTAAAAAAAATCTGTTTACCCCCCCCACCCCCCTGAAATTCATGACTATTCATATTTCAATGTCTTGTTTTAGTTTGATTTGGAAGAATTTTAATTCTAAAGATCTGTGTCATGACATCACATTTGCCCCTTTAAGCAATGGTGTAAATATCAGTAAGCAGAGACTTCAGTTGCTTAGGGGCCCCGTCGCTGACACCTGGTTGGCCCCCCTACGCAATTGTGGACTAGGACGATTCTTTGCAGATGTAATGGTGCGAAAAATTGTTCTTAAACCCACCTGGTACTAGTTTGAATGACCAGAACTTATTTATACCCCAACACATGGCAGATTTCAACATGATGGTGAGCCGTTTAAACACGACACTAATAGCAATGTTGTACTTCATATGGGGCTCACCCAGATGATGTTGCTTATGGGCCTATTGTTGTGTCGTTACGCCACTGCCTTTAAGCATTGCTGGGTTAAAATATAAAACTCCCACTATGATTTATAAATGTAACAATACAGGCTTTGTGTGTTTGTTAATGTTTGCATTGCTATAACTCTGCAAGACAAGTGTTTCACCTGTACAGGTGTGTGTGGGAGAATGAGGGTGTGACTGTTTGCTTTTACCACCCTGACTTAGAAGGGAACAAAGACTATTAGTCTTTCAGTTCCTGAAATCCGTATGTGTTTTATAAACAGTCTGTATTGATTTTACTTTTTGATACGTTGCAATCAAGCTCCATCTCCTCCTCAAATTGTACTGTCAAAGAAATGCATGTTTTCTGAAGTTTCCTGTCTGCATCTGCCACCAGTTTTCTCTGCAGTGAAGGAGGCATTGCAGATTGACAAATTCATCCAAACTGGTTCTTCGTTCTGTGGCTGAATGTTTTTCTCATTAGTAAGAAGGAATGCTGTGTAATCATCGGCTCTTATCACTGAGCTGTCCTAAATGTGCAAACATGTTACCTTGTGTAGTGCCGGTAGACAACCTTAGAGAAAACTGTGTTGTGCAACCTTAGGATTTAAGTCTTTAATAATAAATGAGTGATCGCATTAATGCTAATTCATCCCATTAGGTGCTTTAAGTTCTTAAAACGATAAGAAAATTTATGATGTACCATGGTTTATTAAACTGCTTACAACAGAGAAGGTTTTGGTTGCAATCGCTTTTTGTAAATACGGTATTTTTAGTTTTATTCCTGTTTTGTAATTTACTCTCTGATTATCTGTGAGAAAACTAACTTTAGTGGAATCCTGTGAGGACATTCTCCAAAGGTATTAGTTAGGATAGTTTCAACAATGAAGTAAAATCTATAAATATTGCTAATTTTCCATAGCGACAATCTGGATTTCAGCTACAAAGCTTTCATAGGGTGTACACCTTGGTGTATCACATCTTTAGGCTTTGAACTTTAGACTCTGAAATACCATTTCCTGCACTTTGAGGTGGATCGCAGCTAACTTTTTGTTTTCTTTTTACAACACATTTGTCCTGAATATGTGCTTGACTAGAGGTGGAAATTTCATAAGGAACACATTAGATCATTTTCAGATACAATGGTTCAATTAGAAAGTGTACTACTTTTACACTGCGATTTGAGCATCAAAAAAGCGTCATTTTTTATGCTTGTACACTTTGGTGCTCCTGAAGCGCGTCCAGTAAAGTGTGTACAGGTGCGTCTAATGCTTCTGCTGCTCCTGTGTTCAATGGCAGAGAGTGTCTTTGCTGTATTTGCTGTAATCAGTTGATAAAACGTAGCTTTAATACGAGAAAGCCTACCTTAAAACATTGTCTATGCAGTCAGTTCATCAAGAATCCTGCTTTAAAATATTATTCGGCTGTTGGAGCAGCTCAGACCGCCGCATACGACGGTGCGCTGTCACTGGGAATCCCCAGCAGCAGCTGCCCCAGGCCCGTTCGCTTCTTAGTTGGTTTTCTCCTACTGTTTGTGGCGACTGGAAGTAGATGTAAGCGTTTTTCAGGTATAAGGTACAAACTGCAGGCGCCAGAATAATAAAAGCAAACATATTCTACTGGCAGGTTTTTACATTTTTTGTTTAGACGTTAATTAACAGTTTCAGTGGAGTGATCATAGCGATCTGCATCAGCAGCACTGTGTCGGTCTCCCTGCCAGCTTGCAGATCAGCTTCTCTGATTGAATGATGTGGCACGTTGAGCTGCAACAGTTCAATATTTCCAATTCCAGCATTTGCTGCTTGTGAAATTTTTAATGTTTGAGCAGAATCAGAGGTAAAATTAGGGCGTACAAAAACCGTACATCCTAAAATCAGGGCGTACAATTTCTAATATTTTTAGTAAAGGCCATTACATGCCCATATGCATTAGGCAATATTGGCAATATTGACATGGGAAACTGAATATCGCATTAGCCTTCATATCTGTTTATTTCTTAGAACCTTAAAGGAACTTCCATGAAACATGATCTAAATGTTTATTAAACATTAACAGCTACTTCCTGTATATTACCTTTAGAGGACCTTCAAGCAATGTCCCTGAAAGACATCTATAGCTTCCATCATGTAATCATTAGAAAACGTTTAGGGATTGTAAGGATGAACTTCAACAGCACCCTTCCCCAACAACTAGGATAGGATTTTTTTTGGTAAGGCTTTCTTTTACAGTACATCAATAACCTACTAATAACATAGCAAGTTACACTATATTACTAGGTAAGAAGAAAAACTATATGGAGACCTCAATAAATGAATGTGTTATCTGGTAAAATGCAGTTTATTACTTGGTATATAACAGAAAAAACAAACCTAGAAGACAACAAGCCAAACTTTTTAACTAAACTCCTATTTATATTGGTAGGTGGTGGCCAATAATAAAACATTTTATGTGGTAACCTAATGGTAATTACAATGTTA